TTGACTTTGACGGCTGACACTTGGACATTGCCAGATTAAAATCTATTTTTGTTTATGCCATGAGATTCCGGTAGGTTTACGGTTTAAGGATTAGACTTTTGAGCCCAAAGAATTAGTGACTCGTATGTGAACAACATAATGGATGATGGATTTGACAAACAAGAGTCGAATTTAGCACTTTGTCGCGACTCAGAATCAAGACTAAGCGTTTGTCAACTGTTATCGTAAGATTAATCTACCTTCAAATAATTGAATTGCAAAACGCTCAAACTGTGCAGTAATCGCAATTCGCAATATCAAGTATGGTCTCATCGGACTTCACTGAGGTTTTATCTAGGTTATTGTAATTATTTATTTTGGGATTGTTTAATAGTTTTAGTTTATTAATAAAGTCTCTATTTTCGTTAGTCACCTTTTTTTCACAAACAATATTTTTGAAGCATTATTCCTTATACATATGAATTAAGGAATTTTTGTACTATAGAATATATTATATACTACTCAAAACAATTAGCGGAACAAGATTTTTCTCCTTTCTATTGCTTAAACTAAAATTAGATTTAAATTAACTTGTACGCTATTTTTTACCTCGTTAATTTGTTAATTACTACAATTAATAAAAAAAATCAATTTGTATTTTTTTTATTAAAAAAAAATTAAAATGTGCATTGTAGACGTAAAACAAAGTGACGTCTTTGAATTTTCATTACTTTCTAATCACAGAAAACACATTTTAAGTAGTTTTTTTTCAATCTTTTGAGTATCAATAGAAATTGAAGTGAGCCTTTTGAGTATTGTTATTCATTGAAGCGAGTGAGTTTAGGTCATAATGCCAGATCTGACTGAATTGCATGTCTCCCGAGCTATCGCTTTGCTTGAAGTGGGTCGAACTATGCGTTATGTAGGAAATGATCTAGGAGTAGCCCCTTCTGTTATCTACAGACTTTGGAAGCGATACCGTGAGACGGGAGAATACTCACGAAGGCGTGGTCAAGGTCGAAAGAGAAAAACTACACGTTTGCAAGATCGCTACATCGTCAAGTGTGCTTTACGTAACCGCACCACAACTGCAAGAGATCTACAAAATACACTAAGGACGGCTACTGGTGTAGAAATTTCCGACCAGACGGTAAGAAATAGGTTGTTGGAAGCCAATTTGAGATCACGCCGACCAGTTCGGGCTGTGCGTCTAACAATTCAACATAGACAAGCTCGCCGACAGATCGCGCAAAATCACGCTAATTGGCAACTTCGACATTGGAGGCCAGTGCTTTTTACTGACGAATCACGATTCCGTCTAACACGTTGCGATGGTCGTCTCCGCGTTTACAGACGCCCAGGCGAGCGATACAGTGCAGCAGCAGTCCAGGAATATGACAAATTTGGATGTGGCTCTGTGATGGTTTGGGGCGGAGTTAGTTTGGACGAGCGCACAGATCTCGTCGTTGTTCCCGGGCGCTTGTGTGCTCAAACTTACATTGAAAATGTGCTCGAAGATCATGTTTGGCCCGCAGCATATGGTATGGGCCCAGATTTTCTTTTAATGCAAGATAATGACAGGCCGCATACTGCAGCCATCTCGTCAGATTACTTACGACAGCAGGAAATCCGTGTAATGGAGTGGCCTTCCATGAGCCCTGACCTAAATCCAATTGAACACATTTGGGACTTGCTTGACAGGCGCATCCGGAAGCGTCCGATTGCACCTCAAACACTGCAGCAGCTCACTGAAGCGTTGATTGAAGAATGGGAGCGAATTCCACAAGAAGATATTCGGAGGATCATACGAATTTGATGGACCTTTTTTATCACCAATTAGTTTTTCGTCTACAATGCACATTTTAATTTTTTTTAATAAAAAAAATACAAATTGTTTTTTTTTATTAATTGTAGTAATTAACAAGGTAAAAAATTGCGTACAAGTTAATTTAAATCTAATTTTAGTTTAAGCAATAGAAAGGAGAAAAATCTTGTTCCGCTAATTGTTTTGAGCAGTATATTATAATTTTGTTAATAAAAAATTACCGTTTCAAATGTGTGATTTAGGAGAAATGGTAAGGATCACTGGTTTAAATATAATTTCTAAACGCACTACTCGCTGACCACCTATCGTCTACTCACAGATCTGCCTAACCGGCACGCGACTTCGTCCACCGACGTCATAATCGAAAGCCAAACATCGATGTTCGATATTTATCGAAAACCGAACTGAATGATTTTTTTATTGACTAAGAAATAAAATACTGTCAAATGGTTCGACATTTATTAAGAAACAAAACAAATTATTAAATATTCCGATATTTTTTATCAACTGACTGAATGAAAAGTAATTTTAATAAAGAAGACCTAATCTATTTCTTGGTTGAGAGAGAAAGCGAGCGAGACTTCGAAGAACGAACGAAGGGAACGACCGTATAGCAACATCGATGTAAAAAATCATTAACATCAAAACATCTATGTTTTTGAAGTTATACTTCTTTTCGTTAAATATTTATTATTAATTATTTAAAAATTGAAAAATTTGTGATAAAAAATTAAAATTGAACATCAAATTTAAATATTAATTTCTAATATTTATTCTTAAAATGAATGAATAATAAAATAATAAATAATAATTATTATTATTAATTAATAATTGTATCTAGTAATCATCATCATCACAATAAATCTGAAAATGATCGCGAGAAATCAGTGACTAGACTCTAGTATGTATGTAAAACCAAGTTTCAAAAAATGCAAATAAATTAACGCACATTCATGTGAAAATAAAAAAAATGAAAAAAGTAACGGATTTCTAACGGAAATTTTGCACTGTTCACACACTGTTCTAGCAAAATCCACTTTCGAAATGGCCGTTTGCGTTTATAAAATTAATAGGGATGTGAAAAATAATCGATTTCTTTAAAAGTGAAAATCGATTTTTGTATTCGATTATAATGTTAAAAATAATTTAAAATCAATCATAGTTGATCAGTTTCAGTTGAACAGTTATTTAAAAAAAAATATTATTATACTAACCTAACCTAACCGAACAATATTTTTTTTTTTTTTAAGTCTTTATCATGCAATCAGTCAGTTAGACTATGAGCAGATGTGTTGGGAGCTGTTAGGCGTTCAGAGCAAAATCTCCATCGAGACTGCTCCTCTCTTTCAACCGTGTCTATCAAGACTTAGGATTTGTCGCCTTTTAAGCCTATTTATTAGGTCCGGTATGGTAACCGAACAATAATAATAATACATTTTTGGACAGCTCTTTAACAAAAAATATTAATATAGGGGAGACTGGGGACACTTGATCCCCCCTTTTGTTTTTTGGCAATTATTTTGTAAATATTGATCAGATTTTAAATATTTTGTTATACTAAGTATAATAGCTAATGATATCCGTATATAAATTGACTAACTAGCACATGAAAATTTCGTATAGGAAATGATATCATGTGTCCCATATATATGTCTGACTTGATCCCCCCCTTCTGGAAGACTTGATCCTGGGGGGAACAAGTCTCCCACATTTAGGGTCATATGATTCCAATAAAGAAGAAAAGGAAAAAAATATGTTAAAATTGTTTTTATCATTGATTTATTTGCTAAATAAGAAACAACAACTATGTTCCTATTATTACAGAATCTTCTGATTGAACTAAAATAACGTGAATTAATTTTGCTTTTATAAAATTAAACAATAGTTAGGTTAAATGTATGTGTAACTTAAACAGTCTTTTCTTTTCATCTATTAGCAATCATCTATTATTTTTTCTAATTTTCAATTTTTTGTCATTTATGTCTTTGCTTATTATTCAACTAATAACAATTTATGTCACTTAATACTTTATTGTATTTGGGAGGCTCTAGCTGCTACAATATTATTATCTATTTTGTGAGAACTCAAATCACATGTACCTAAATTTGTTTAAAAAGAAAATGTTGCAAACAAATATAACTTAATGTTCTAGTCTTTTACTTAAAACTAAAAAAAAACATTAAATAAATTTTGCATTTAGCAACAAAACAAAATACCCTTTTGGTTAAATTAAAGTTAAGTTATTCTTTCTTAAAGTTAAACAGTCTTTTCTTTTTATCTATTAGCAATTACCTTTTCACTTTTTATTTCTCAATATTAAATTTTCTTAATGATTTTGGAAACATAAAACTAATGACTCTTTTTGATGATGATTTCACTTTCGGATCTGGTAGTTTTTTCACAACTTGATATTTAGCAATTGAACTAATATCGTCGTTAACAGGCCACTTGAACATCTTATCATTAATTTTTTTAGCGAATTTAATGTCATATCCAGCTCGACTTTCCCTTAGTATTTGCCCAACATATTTATGAACGAGATTCTTTTGCGAGATTAGGTTCACAATAACCCAATCTCCAATGATGATGGAGTCATTGGAGTCATCTTCATTCTCTGATTCGCTACAACTGCTACCAGAGATATCACTTTCATCAAACGCACTTAAAACTGATTCTGGCGATGGCGGTAATTCTTCATCTTCCGACGTTGTCACTTCTTGTTCTTGTGAATTTAGGTTACGTTTTACTGCTTTTACTATCGCTTTGCAAATCTTTTTTTCTGTTTTCTAGCTGCCCACTCATTCTCGATTGCCAGTTTTCCGGTGTGTCGGTCAAAATCCTAGTTTTACCTTTTTTTCTCCCCTTTCCAGAGCCTTTTCTCGGTCCTGCTTTTGGGTGTGGTCTTATTACTTCAGGACTTACAAATGCTGATGTAGAAGGTTTTGGAACGTGAATATTGTGAGAATGGGTCGGTGTTTTAGGGCTATCGTTATTTCTAATTTGTGAAGAACCAGCTGCATGCGGTCTGTTATTATTGTAGGAATTCATAAGGGCATCTCTATTACTGGCCATACATATGGAAAGCAATTCTGGGGGAGATTTTGTAGAATCATTTTCCTTTTCATTATCAGAAATATCGGGAGTCACATCGTCATCTGGAATTGGCACTGGTGCAACTGGCGCAACATTTTCTGCATTAAGCATAAGGGCAGGGGAAGCTGCTTGATAAAATAGACGGTGACACAGATGGTGAGGTTATAACATTGTCTGTTTCAGTTTGCACGTTTTTTCTGTCAGTAACGTAGGAGCTTAAATATTCGTCATCTGTGAATATATCAGGGTTAAATGAAAAAATTCCAGTAACTGAGAAACTTTTCTGAATATTTCTAGGAGTCATTGCATTTGGGTAAGCACTGCCTAGACATCCAGCCAAATCATATATGGTTAACGGCCGCCCTGGATGACTAACCATCCAATTATCGCATGCAGTATTGTAGTATGACTTCATCGCTCCAAATACTATTCGATCCAAAGGTTGTAATTTTTGAGAGGTATGTGGTGGTATAGTTAAAAGATGGATACCATTATCTTTGCAGTAGTTTATAGAGTCAATGGTAATGTGTGACTCATGGTTGTCAAATATAATAAGACAAGGGCTGTCCTTGGTGCATCTTATATGCTTATGAAAATTTTTTAGGAAAAGTAGGAAATTTGGTCCAGTCATCCATCCACTCGGATGTGGAGCTCCTTCAGTACCCGGTGGGCCACCATCTATCATTCGTTGCTGCCAACTTTTACGTGGGAATATAATAAATGGTGGAAGGTGGTTACCTAAAGCATTTATAGCTCCACATACAGTAACAAGCTGCCCACGTTCTCCAGATGTGACCTTAGACACTTGTTTAAGACCTCTACATGCTACAATTTTTTTTGGCTTATGAACTGTAGTGATTCCAGTTTCGTCTACATTCCAGATTTGGTCCGGCCCAAAATTAAATCTCTGTAATAAGCTTTTCAAATTCTCAAAGAAAGTTCCAACATTGTGTCCGTTAAAAGCTGTGGCGCGAGACAAACTAGTGGCTTCGGGTACACGCAATGACAACTCTTTGTGACGATTCATAAAACCGTAGAACCAATCGTAAGTAGCTGTTTCCTGTTCAACCCATTTTGGTGGTATTTTTTTATTATTTTCAGAAGCATATTGAAATGCAAGGTCTAACTTCTTAGGAGTTAATCCATGGTACAATTTACTGGCCATTATTAAATAACTAACAAGTTCTGTCTCTTCAGTTGACGAAAAAATTTGTGACTGGCGATAGGTTGGCGTGTAATCAATATTTTCAGTCGTAGCATTTTTTTTCTTTCTGACATATCTTTTCAGTGTCTTAACTGCTATCCCGTAACCTTTGGCAGTACCACGAATACTCTTACCCCCTATAACATCATTAACAGCCAACTCCAAGATTTCCTTATCGATTGGTATTCTTTTTCTTGCACCTTCTTTTGTTTTATATACCCTAGGCATATTGAATCCTAATCCAAATTATTAAAAAATAAACATTAGGGGACACTTGATCCGGCGGGATCATATCTCCCATAAGAAAGTGTACCATGTGTACCCTAGGTTCATTGAGGTTATAAAAAATTATTGTAAAAATATCTACTACTATTAACACTGTTCTATGAAACAGACGTTTAAACACATAGATAATGAATAGTTTAAAATTGATTCTTATTCAAAATATGTTTCCTAACCAATTGTGCAATCAAAATAAAAACTTAAAAAATAATTTCTGGCCACAGGAAACACACAATCATCCGCCATCTGCTCAACTGTCAAATTTGACAGAAGTACCAACTTTAGAAAGTTAGAACGTACCATAGACTATTAATGTTGCAACTTTAAAATCTTATAGTGTTCACAGAAGCTTTGTAAATCCAGTGTATCTAGTCTCCCGTAAGGATCAAGTGTCCCCAGTCTCCTACTAACCTAAACTAACCAAACAATAATAATAATACATTTTTGGACAGCTCCGGCGCTACGGGAAATGCAGCCCCTCCACCCTTGCGTACCAAAGCACAGGCATCATGCAAGCCGTAGGGGCTAAGGCTGGTCGCCGAAGGCGACCAAAAAGCCGAAGCTGCGGAGGCTTCTTCCGCGCCTCCGATTTTTTATATACACTAGGGGTAGGGCAGACAAGACCTCGTGGATAGTGGGGTGCTCTGATTTGGTTTTGGGTACTTTTTGGATATTAAAGTAAACACTATTCTAGTAAGAATTTAATAATACAGAAAGTTGCAAACCATGAAATACAAGTGCAAATTAGGAAATACAGATGAGTAAAAATCACTTTGGTTTTATCATCCTTTCGATGTTTTACAAAAAAAATCAATGCATCGAGTATATCAATACATCTTCAAAGAATCGTATTCAATGTATCGCATTCTAAACATCGATGTATATCGAATATCTGTAATAGTTCGAGGTCCGGGTTATAAAAGACCAGACAATGTCGGGAGGTGGCAGAGGAAAATCGACTATGATTGATTTTCAATTATAAAAATAATCGATTATTTTAAATATAAAAATCGCTTAAAAAAAATCGATTTTTACTTTGAAAAAAATCGATTTTTTAAATAATCGATTATTTTTTCACATCACCTACCTAAGAGATCGAGTTGGCAACACTGTTCACATCCCTAGTTTATAAGTAAGAAATTGAAAAAAAGCGCGGGAAACGTTGGTCGTGGCGGGAGTGTTTTTTCTTGTGAAATTTTTAAATTTAATTTAACTTGTATAAAAGATCAGTTTGTATATATTTGTATGTAGTAGTTTAATTTAATAGTTTTGTTTATTCATTTGTGTATATATTCTACAGTATCTGGTAAGTTTGTATACTTTTTCCTCAAGGCCTGGAGTCAGGCGAAAAAATGGACGAGCCCCCCGAGGTAGCTTGTAATATTATAATAGAAAATAGATTTTCTAAACTGGACGAGTCCAGTGTAGATACAGATGTGGATCAACGGAATGATCGAAAAAGAATGCGAGTAGGTAAAATCTGCAAACACTGCAACAAAAGGAAAAAAAAGATTCGATCCGACGCGTCGGAACAAACAAAAGGACACTGATTGCTCGTGTCAAATACCTGAAATTGAAATTCCCTCAATATATACTGGGCTTAAGAACGCTAATGCTCTAGATAGTTTTCAGAACAAAGTAGACCGTGTAGATACTGCAACTGTTAATACCCAACAGCACCCATCACCTCCATCAGACGTTTCTCAGTCCATAAAAAATCCTACAGGCCGAACGTTTTATGAGGCCTATGACATAGGGCCATTCGTAGTTCATGCGCAAAAAGTTTCTTTAGATACGGACATCCCCTCCCTACACCCCGTCCAATTTGGGTATTTCCTCAAGAAAAATTCTTTTAAAAACATAATTAATGGTAGCATCAAAAGGATAGGCAGAAACAGAATTTCCCTATCATTCTCTGACCACAAATGTGCAAACGAATTTATTAATAACCCTTGCCTGGCAAGAAATAATTACAAAGCTTTAATTCCCTCATTTAATGTGACCCGAATGGGCCTGGTGCGAGGCGTTCCCGCGGAATGGTCTCCCGAAGAGATATTAGACAACATCTCTCTGCCTGTAGGCAGCGGAGGAATTATAAAAATTAGACGACTTAATTATAAAGTACGTAACAGCAGCCCTCCTGAGTGGAAGCCATCACAGACTATTGTAATAACTTTCGATGGTCAAACCCTTCCTAAACATGTATTTGTCTGCTACAATGCCCTGCCCGTGGAACTTTACGCATACCCCACTATTCAGTGCTATTCTTGTTGCCGATTTGGTCATACTAAGTCTAATTGTAACTCTCGGCCCCGCTGTTACAAGTGTGGCCAAGACCATACTGGGGACACATGCAACATACAAGATGATGCCGCGACTTGCTGCCTATGTTCTGGTCTACACTTTGCTACAAACAGAAAGTGTCCAGAATATGAACGGCAGACTAAAATTAAATTGTATATGGCTCAGAGATGTGTATCTTATGCAGAAGCAAATAAAGTGTATGATCCAGTTTCTAAATCTTTTGCTGATATAGTTAAGTTTTCAAACATCCAGAATACTCCTAATTCTCCTGTCCCACATGTATCGCCTTCCTCTCCCTCGATTCCGTCGTATAGTAGATCTTATAAGAAAACAATATTTGCTAAACCAACATCCCCCAAACTAAAACGACTGGGGTATAACAAAACAGAACACTTCAATTTGATAAAGGACTACGACGCTCCAGCTCCTTCTAACGGGGTCGCTTTAATAAACAGTAACGTTAACAATAATGACATAATCTCTGATTTAATCCAACTTTTGACTGAAATTAAATCCAATTCTAACTCTGACAACAACGTAACCGAACAACGCCGCCAAACGATTGCTTCCTTAACTCAATTAAAATCCTCTTATGCGTCACGAACGCGAACAAATAATCCAGTGGAATTGCAGAAGCGCTATCTGCAATAAAAATGATTTAATCCATTTGCATAATAAATTTGAACCATTTGTCTCAACTCTGTCGGAAACATGGCTTCGCCCGGAATTGACTTTTCGAATTCCAGGTTATGTTATTCTCCGACAGGACAGACCAGGGGCCTTAGTCAGGATGCCTTAACAGTAGCGTATGTAGAACGTCAAAAACTAAATTTGTATGAAAACTTTTCGACACTTATGGGGCGTTCCCACGAGGCGTTAATCACGACAGTCAACCACGCTTTCGTGAAATACACTTCTGTGTGAACGCATAGGCGTTAAACTTGCTTTCGTGAGGAACGGCGCACGACACAAGCGTGGATAGATCAAACGTGTTTGATTTTCAGTCGTGATATACCGTTCGTGAAGCCAAGATGTCGTCACAACAACGTGGAATTAAGTTTAACGACACTGAAACTACGCGTTTTTTGGAGTTATATTCTATGGAAAAGGTGTTATATGATTCAAGTTTGGAGGAATACCGTGATAGAGATTTACGTGCCGCCGCAGCTAAGAGAATTAGTCATGAATTAAATATTCCTGGATTTGGACCAAAAGAAGTTATATCAAAATTCAAAAATTTAAGAAGCTCTTTCTGTCAGGAGTTAAAAAAAATATCAGACAGTGCAAGGTCAGGAAAAGGTACAGATGACATATACAAGCCAAAAGTATTTTGGTTTGATCAGATGAACAGTTTTATTCGTCCGTTTGTTCAACAGCGACCCACACAATCGAATCTGGTAAATACCTTTTTTTTACTTCTACCTTCCTAAAAATATATATCGTTTATTTATGAAAAATAATTTTAAATAATTTAAAAACGACATACGAGTATTAATTTAAATTTAAATTAGTATGAATGCGTTGTTTTTAGTAACTATTTAATATTTATAATATCTTATCTTCTATGAGTATTGTATAAAAATCATTAAAAAAAAAAATCTTTAACGTAAATATATTTATTATCCACACGATTGTAAACAAAAATAAATGTACAATATGTATAGATTTATTATTAGTTATTACAGTTCATTAGACACATCAATTATTTGGTTTTGCCAGGGAACAGCTCCTTCGTTATTAAAATAATCACGATATTTATTCCGTATTTGTTGTGCCTCCATATTAGAATGTCTGTGGTTAGTTGCTGGTAGATTCTGTAATCCACTATGATTATTTTGACGCCATGATCCAGGGAAAACTCGGTGGTCCTCATCCTCATAATCAATTAGATCCCCCGTCACATACCGAGGGTTTGTTTTTTTCAACCAATTATGAATTGCACAGCATGCGAGGACAACTTTGTCTAACGTTTCTAATTTTAATGATATTGGTTTTTCAAACAATCTAAATTTACTCGCGAGTATGCCAAAGGCATTTTCCACTACACGTCTTGCTCTTGACAATCGATAATTGTAAATCCTTTCTGCAGGGGTTAAATTGCGTCGACTGTAGGGTTTCATTATATACTTTTTTAACGGAAATGTATCATCAGCCAAAATAACGAAATTGTTTGGTATGGCTAGTGAGTTTGTTTCTAAAGCGTTGTACAAAGAGCTATTTTGAAAAATTCCTCCATCTGATCCTCTTCCTTTCGCTCCAACATCAACATATAAAAAACAATAATCGGAATCCACCAAGGCCATTAACACAATACTATAACTGTTTTTATAATTAAAATAATCTGAACCACTTCCGGGAGGAGCTCGTATGACAACATGCTTACCATCTAGAGCCCCTACACAACGAGGAAAATTCCATCGCGTTCTAAAACCATATTCAATGTTTTTCCACTCATCTGATGTTACAGGGACCTGAAACATTATATTATTAAAATATGAATAAGCTTATAATATTAACACATTATTATTTATATTATAGATACTTCCTACAGAAAATTCCTCAGATGCCTCAATAGAAAATAGTCTACAATCAGAACCTAACTTTGAGTGCAGTACTAGCCAAAACTCTGAAGACGTGACACAGATAGCATCGAAAATTGATACACCTGCGAAGATAATCAAAAGAAAGATTGAACCACAACCATCAACTTCAAAAAGTAAAAAATCTATTGGTGATCATGAAATAGGATTTATGACAAGTGCTATTGACAAATTGAATGCAATTTCAAATCGCGCATTACAAGTCGCTACAAATAAAGATGATAGTTATGATCATTTTGGGAAATATATCGCATCAATGTTAAGAAGTATAGGACCACCAACAGCAATACGATTACAACAAAACTTCATGAATGAAATTACAAATGCTATGTGCCCACCAGAATATGTTACTGACTGGCTGGAAGATCAAGTGGAAGACAATCAAATTTAAGTACTTTTTCGGCTAGTAATGATGACGAATACACGACATTATTTACAGATTTATAATTAAACAAATTTTGTAATTATAATTAAACAAATAAAAGTTCACTATTACTAATAATTGTATTAATTTTTAAATTTTAAGGTACTTACTTGTATGAATTCTGCTAGTTCATTGTATATTGCTTCACAGGTTTCTGGAATAAATTTACTTATTGTGTTTTTTGGAACACGGAACAAAAATTCTAAGCTTTTGAAGGAATCACCTGTAGCTAAATACCGTAAAGTCACCTCTAATTTTGTTTTTGCACTTATTGCTTGTCTCATGTTAGTGTCAGATTTTGAAATAATATTTGTAACACGCAATAAGAGGTATTCAAACTGAAATTCAGTCATTCGCAATAGGTTTCTAAAATCTTCTGGAAAATTGCTTTTTAATTCCATACGAACCAAGTTCGACGCTCCTAACATATTTCTTCGCTGTATCCATTCTCTAACCCAAAAACGTATTTTTTTTCGTTTTCTTGTGTCCTGTAAGCGCTCAATCTTTTTTGCTATGATAGTAGCAAAAACCGAACTTAAAACAGCACAACTTTCAACAACCAGATCATTCATGATCGATGTTTCGATAATGACTAAGTCGAAACACGAAGCGTGAACGGCACGAAATCCCCCAACCATGTGAACGTTTCATCAATTCACACTTTCGTGAGTGTCACGAACGACAGTTGACTAGCGTAGCTGACTGTCGTGATTAACGCTCCGTGGGAACGCCCCATTACTGTCATTTTCATACAAATTAAGTTTTCGACTTTCTACATACACTACTGTTAAGGCATCTTGACTAAGGCCCCTGACGGCTATGGCGGTGTTGCCATAGTCATTAAAAATAATCTCCCCTATTCCTTATTTCCACTTCCCTCATTCGGAGATGACTTATCAGTCATTGCTGCTATTGTAAATAAAATTTGTATAGTGTCTATTTATTTTTCTCGTCCTAATGTAAATATTTTTTCTCATCTTAATCAACTGTTCTCCATCCTTCCAAGGCCATTCTTAGTCCTAGGTGATTTTAATTGCCAACATCAATCCTGGGGAAGCATTTCTTCCAACTATTATGGAGATCAATTATTAGATATTATAGATTCTCATTGTATCTGTATTTTAAACACTGGGCTGCCAACCCGTGTTACTGGCCCAAGTGAAGGTGCAAGTGCGCCTGATCTATCTTTATGTTCACCTGATTTAGCTTCAACTTTAGACTGGCACCCTCTTGCATCTTCGTATGGTAGTGACCACTTTCCACTTGTAATTACTTTTCCTTCACACAAACCTACCAAAACCACTCGCTCTCCTCGTTTTAAATACAGATTAAACAACGCTGATTGGGAATTATTCAACCAACGAGTAGAGCAAAAAACTAGTACTTATTCTCAAGAAGGTGATCAGATATCTGCCGAAATTCTTTCTCAGGTTTTGATTGAAGCTGCCGATGAATCTTTTTGCACTAAAACTAAGTTCCGATCGCAAATTCCTTCGCCTCCCTGGTGGGATCATGAATGTACAGCTGCAATAAAAACAAGAAAACAGGCTGAAAAAAATTACTGTGAGGAGATGTCAGAAGAAAATTTCGAGTTATATTTAGAATCTGCCCGTAGTGCTAAAAAATTGTTTAAGAAAAAGAGATATGATGGTTGGCAATCATTTTGTGCTTCCATTAGCCCAGACGTCAGCCCGTCAGAGGTCTGGCGTAATATTCGTAGATTTAGATCTGCATATAATAATTCTCCCTCTTCTAAATTACCGCTAACCCTAGCTGATCAATTCATGGATCATCTTGCACCCCCTTCTGTACCGGAACAGGCATTTCCTCCATTATCTATTCCTGCTTACATTTCCGATGACCAAACTGGATTAAATGCTCCATTCTCTTTGATCGAACTTAAAGGTGTACTCAATAACGTAAAAGATTCTACTCCAGGAGATGATGGGATTCCATATTCTTTTTTGAAAAACCTTTCGGACCGTGTGCTGATGCTGTACTTAAATATTATAAATTCTATTATGATTTCTGGGTGCATTCCCAAGTCTTGGATCACTCAATCTATTATCCCTATTTTAAAAGACAATAAACCAGCCGATGATCCTTCTTCTTACAGACCTATTGTCCTTTCTTCTGTTTTAATGAAAACAGCAGAACACCTAGTTAAAATCCGTTTAGAATGGTTTTTAGAGAGTAAAAATTTATTAGCAACGTCACAATTCGGTTTTAGGAAAAGTAGAAGCACAATGGATAGCTTAGGTATATTCACTACGGACATAAGATTAGCTTTTTCAAACAACGAGTCGATAGTAGCTACTTTCTTAGATATAAGCTCAGCTTATGACAATGTTCTTATATCGGTTCTTAGGGGAAAATTGCTTTGCTTAGATGTACCTACCACCGATTCTGTCAAACTTTATTATCAATATGCTCAGAGAAAGATACATTAATTTATTTATCGAAGATGTCAAACTATCCCGGACTGTGTGGAAAGGATTACCACAGGGTTCTGTGCTCAGTCCCTTGCTCTACAACATCTACACATATGATTTAGAAACATCATTGCAGGCATCAGCAAACGTATTACAATATGCAGATGATCTTCTTATATACAAATCAGGAAAATCGATTGAAAATAATTGCCAAGCTCTAACATCTTCCCTTTCATTTTTAAAATCATGGCTTAATTCGAATGGTTTAGACTTATCTGTATCCAAGAGTAGGGTTGTGTTGTTTTCCAGAATGCGTAGGCCTCCCCCGGTCCATGTAAAGTTCAATAGTGTTTTGATTCCCTCGACTAATGACGTCAAATTCTTAGGAGTAGTTCTAGATTCCAAGCTTACCGGTGTACCCCATTGTGAATATGTAACTGCAAGATGTGAACGTAATTTGAATATTCTTAGGTGCTTATCGGGCATCTGGTGGGGAGCGCATTCACACTCCTTAAAATTGATTTACAACGCCATAATCAGAAGTGTAATGGATTACGGTACTTTTCTGTTGGAACCAGGAAATATTTCTGGTTTAAAAAAAAATGGATAGTATTCAGGCTAAAGCAATGAGAATAGTCCTAGGAGCTATGAAGTCAAGTCCAATAAACTGTATGAGAGTCGAGTGTGTAGAGCCTCCATTAAACTTACGACGGCAATTTCTGTCTGATAAATTCCTATTCCGTTGTATCCAATTCAGTAACCATATCCTAACACCTAAACTGACTTGCCTGGCATCTTTAATCCCCAATTGTAGTTATTGGAAAAACAAACGCCCACCATGTTTGGTTGAAAGTTACAGAAGATTTACTTATTTTGAGGCTCCTACTCACCAAGCGACTTCTAATCCATTGTTCAAATATAGTTATGATTCCCTTGTAATCTCTCCTGATATACATACTAGCACAGGTCTTGTGAAAATTGAGCAAAACCAAAAGTTAACATTTAACTATATTGTTGACACCAAGTGGCCACAATGGCATCGAATATTTACAGATGCATCTAAGCATTCCAAAGATAGCTGTGTAGGTGTTGGTGTACTGCACTCTAATTACAATATTGTTCAAAAAACTAAACTCCCTCCTGAATCCTCCGTGTTCACTGGCGAATGTATTGGCCTTGTTAAAGCCATAGAATACATCCTTCTACTAAAACTTCAAAAAACTGTAATTTTTACAGATTCACTGAGTTCTTTGAATGCCTTAGCCCGGTTCCCATTTGGATCACATTATCAATTCCCTGTCATTTCCGAAATAAGAAACCTGCTATTAAAATGTATAAAAGAAAACTATTACGTACCTATCGTTTGCATGGGTTCCTGGTCACTGTGGAATATCTGGAAACGAGAAAGCCGATCGTTTAGCCAATGAGGCGGTGGAGAGTGGAGATGTAGACATTTTTAGAAACTATGCGCATGACTTGATGTCTCTTTCAGGGATTTATCTCAGGAATTCCTGGACTGAATCCTGGGCTCAAGATAGTTCAAAAGGTCGCCATTATCGTACTATTCAACCTTCTATACCCAGTAAGCCCTGGTTTTGGAGACTGAGATTCGGTAAAAAAGTTACAACAGTACTGTCTCGTATGCGACTGGGACACGTCTGCACCCCAGCTCATCTTACTAAGTTAAATATTAATGAGAGCCCTACGTGCGATTGCGGATATGATGTAGGTGATTTAAATCACATCATATTTGTTTGTCCTCGACGCGACCGGTCGGCTCTTCTCGAAGGTCTCATTTCCCTTCTAATTCCTTTCCCTTCATCCATATCATGTTTACTTTCTACATTGGACCCACATGTATATAAACTTTTAGCTGCTTTTATCTTAAGTAATAATATAAAAATTTAGACAATATGAACGTAATTATATGTAAATATGTTTTCTTACACTCTTTTTTTATGTAGATTTATAAGAATTGATCTTTTATTTTATAGATTCATTATTTTCTATTCCTAAATTCCTTTCCAGACGATAATTTTATGTTTTTACCCGTTTCCCTGTTTTTGACCCTGGGCCACAATGCACAAACCGTGCGGGCCAATATGTAAAAAAAAAAAAAAAGTAAGAAATTATGCTCTTCTTATTCTAAGCAGTGTGACCAGATTTAGTAGATTTCTACTTTTTTGGTAGATTTTGAGGTACTGTCAACAGAATTTAGTATGTAAAAATTATTTGGTATATTTTAGTAGAATTCACGCTTTTCAGTTATTCTAGTACTTTTTGTGGCATATCGAATGAAAGCGAGGTATTCCTCTTTCATCGATTGGATTATAACTATTTAATGTTCATTCTTTTCGTTACTATTCGTGCCGTGAGCATAGAGTGTGATGTGGGAATTCCTTTATTGAGATTTATATCATCGAGTTTAAAATGAAACATAAATATACACAAGGATATCGCAATGAATAGGAGCAAGATCCCTTATTTAAAGTTGGTTATGTAAATCTACAAAATTTTACGTTATTTTTCAAAGTGATCAGACCCTTATTCATAAAATTGAAACAGACATACAAAACATTATGAGTTCCATTTTGAGTTGCTTTATGAAGATAAATTATATAAAAACTACTCCGCTTCAGTCAATAGATCTGACAGAAGTATGTTCAAGTTAATGGACTGAAAATTGCTTTATGACAATGTTACCCAACATAAAGACGAAAAATCTTTACTTTAAGTATCATTTTATACATTTTTTAGAATTTAATTAAAAAAAAACTTGGTTTCTTTCAAATTAAATTCTTATTTTTATTATTCTATCGTTTTATCAAGAAAACATTCATGTTTTACGATGTAAAACAACAGCAAAAAAATATAATAGATTTTCTCGTTCCTTTCGGTAGAATTCAGTAGTTTTTAACCTCCACAAGCAGTAGATTCGTCAATTAAAATCTGGTCACACTTATTCTAAGCATAATTATTCCTAAATCCTAGTATAAGGTTTGAATAAGTAAGTTTTTATTTGTACCACTGTAAGAGTTTTTTCGCTTACATTTGATGACTATTAATGGTACTATTCAATTTCTATTTTCAGATTTCAAGATGGGTAAAACACATGCGGAAAATAGTAGAAACTATTACTATCGAAAAAAAGCTGCTAAGGAAGCTGAAAGAGCTCGTCTAGGCTTGTCAGTAATCAAGCCAAGAAGAAAAACAGGAGCAGAACGTAATCGTGCCTATAGGCTGCGAAAAAAAGCTGCCAAGGAAGCTGAAAAAGCTGATCAAGGCTTGTCAGTAAACACGCCAATAAGAAAAACAGCAGCAGAACGTAATCGTGCCTATAGGCTGCGAAAAAAAAAGGGTGCGTGTACTCAGTTGGTGAGTTTTGTGTAGCTGAATGCAAAATGGAAGATGGTAATAAAATTGTTTAAATGGTAATTTACATTACTCCAATTCAAAAAATTGACGACATCATACATTTCCTGAAAAGAATATTATGGCCATATACAAAAGCTGGTATAATCTTCGTAGAGGAGAAGATAAATTACCTACCCTATTTTTTATTAACAGATTACGTATGTTTATGTTAATAGATTGTTTTAGGTTGAATGGTCTATTAACATAACACTACATTTGTTAAAACTTAACAATTTCATAAGCTTTTTAAGATATGTATTTAGATTCTCTATGTAGATATACTTCATACACTGGCTTTATTATGTGATATTGCTTGCTGTATCTGCAAACTTATTTGTTTGCAGGTACACACGTGCAAACAAATAAGTTTTGAGTAATTAAGTTAAGCTATAACAAAAAATGTATTATAATTTTAAAATACCATTGAAAAATAGACAAATAACAAGATTCTAAAGCATATTTCAATACATGGTACATTGAAGAGGTCTGGGTAAATAGTAATTGGTTACTATTGGTGGTTTATGAATCTTGGCCTTGGATTTCTGTTTTAGTAGGTAATCATCTTAATACATCTTTATTCACCATTTGTTATAATTTAATAATTTCTGTTTTGTTAAAATAATTTTATAACTTATTTGTACTAAAATTATCAAGATGTTAACAATATCAGAAATCAAGCCAGTTTTGTACATATACAAGTGTTTTCAGTTTTGTTTTTTTTTTCAGAGTGTTGTGGAGAGTACATTAGCAAGAAATAAAAAAGCACTACCTGCAGTAGCTATTGCTACTCAATCTGTTCAAACAAACACAAATTCCATTGGGGCAATAAATCCAGGCCAAAGTAATACTATGCCTATGAATTTTGTTTACATTAAGGTAGAACCAGAGAATGTTGACGAGATTACAATGGGAATACAGCATGAAATAATAAGTTGGAGGGAAATAGTGATAAAATCTACTGAAATTTATCTTCAATCTTATAATGTTTGTGATAAAATACTACATGGACAGGTAAGTTTTGAAAATATTATTTAATTAGTTGTTGCATATGTTAGTTGTTTGAACAGCGATTTCATGACCCAAATGATTATGTTTCTTACAAATTTGTTTTCTGTATTTTCATTTATTGCATTAAATTAAACCTGACATTCTTCAGGCCGTCTTTTAATTGTCATCTACATAGCTAAGATTGATTATATCAAACAAATCCAAATTTTGTTTTTAACAATTTTTTTAAAACTATGGATTGAGGGGACATTTATATTATATCATATAATTAACGATATAATTTATATGATATGGAATATAACATTCTAAAATCGTTAGGTCTCACACATTATTATTCTAATTTAAATGAAGCTGTTCTCTCTATATATTCACAGTACAAGCAAGAATCCTGAATAAAGATACAGTTTGCAATACATTTCTGATCTTGCTACTAACATATCTGTTTCTATCTTTTCTTTGATAACTTGTCAGGTCCTCAACACATGCAAACCGGACGTAAAAGTATTCGTAAAAACTCCCCACGAGAAACTATTAGACCGAGCATTCACACAATGGTGCGATTGGGCCTCCCTCGCAGAGGAGCCCAAAGATCCGCCGTTATTCTACAAATGCTACATCTGCGATATGGCGTGGTGGCACTTGGCCCACTTCCGTTACCACATACGAATCCACGAGCCTTCGAGCCTCTGCATCGTTCTAGAAATTAATGACAACGACGAGTGCAATATTGTCGCTTACTACAGCAAATCGGCGAACAAGTACATCGCGAACATAGAAGGGAAATGCTGGAAATGCGGCGAAAATGCGTTCGAACACACGAAATTGAAGAACTGTGTCGGATGTAAGAAACCGTTCTCCACGTGCAGCAAGCTACGCCAACACCAGTGGTACTGCGAGGGGTTCAAAAACATGCACCTAGAACTTTTCGCCTCAGCTGAGAAGATATTTAAATGTCACCTGTGTCGGTTTTACTTTTTCAAAACGGAAGACATTAAAGAACACATGAGACTGCGGCATTCTGTGCGGTCAGATGTGCCCATACCGGGCTGTGCTGTTTGTGAGAAATGCAAGGACCTTATTTCCTATGAAGATGATCATGTTTGTGAATCTAAAGAGTATGTTAAGACGTGTGGTGCGTGCAAGAAAAGGGTCACCGAAAGCAGTGCTGCATTCCATCAGATTGAAGGGAACGTCACCTGCTCTGTGTAAGTTGTTTTGTTATTGCTTTATTTAACAGTAAGGCGTTTAACCTTGGTGCCTGAAGGGCTACAACACGGTTTACATGATGTGCGACATTCTGTGCCTGAATCAAATCCAAATATAATAAGTAGGTAGCCAATATTTTATTGCGCGCGGGAAAAACGACCGGCGCTACCAATCGTACGCTACACTGTCGCAATGCAAAATGTGTGTATACATAAACTCTTACAAAATCCCCCCATCGAAAAAAAAAACCCTATTACAGTTACTGCCAGTTCTTAAATCAGAACTAAAACGACGAGAACTGGTAATAAACTGCCCGCCATAGTAATTATAATCTTATTTTTTTTTCAGATGCAAAGTGAAAATAGTAAATAGTTGTTCAACACATCTCCACGCACTTCGTCATACGATGAACTATGGATTGGCGTACAAGTGCCTCACCTGTAATTTTTTTATAATCTTTGACTTGGAACAGATTCAAAAACACAAAATGTTTTATCATTCCAATCGCGATTTTGATTATGATCTTGTAAGTATTAAATTTTCATTACTTTAATACGGTAGAACAGTGTATTAAAGCTTGTAGCGCCATTGGTTTTGTATTTTTTTATCCGGTACATTTTTAAATAAAAAAAACCTTATTTAAGGCAGTTCATGCCGGTAAAATAATTGTGTCCTTAGTCCATTGGTTAGCAAGGATAGAAAGCTTATCAAAAATTATATTACCCATTGAATTCACAATTGGAGGATTTTGGTATTTATATTTTATACAGCTCTATACACTTTCATTTTAATTTGCTCATAATATATTCATGTGGTGTGTGCCCTTACCAATTCAAATACTTTTTATTTCAGATTTCCGTCCCAAAAACCATAGTGGATAGATTAAAATCTACGCCAGCCAAACATGACTGTGAGTATTCTTGTAAAACATACATTTTACCGTATAATAAATCATATTATATCCTTTCTGTTTCTATCCATTATTCAAAACTTTAATTTTACAGCACCGGTTGATAGTCAAAAAAATACTTTCCTATTGTCTCATGATACTCAAGATATGGTGAATGATAGAGATGAATATGATGATGTCGTCATCATTGATAATGTGCCTGAAGTAATTGTTGTACCATCTGATGACGCACCTAACGATGATCTCCCTTGTGTCATTGCTAATGTCAAATCCGAACCACTTGAAAACGAAATACAAACATCTAAAACAAAACATACTGTTACACCACAAAATCATTTTGAATGTAAAACGATGGTAACCCAATTACCTAAAGACACAAAAGACATATTTAAATGCCTATCAGATGGAAACAGCATTAATGATGATAAAGTATTAGGTATTAAGGAAATTAAAAGGGAACCTATTAGTGAACTGAATGTCGCCATGGAATCTACATTTGGAATTATAAATACACAAAGTATGACGACAAATAATGTAAATACAGTTAATAATATAAAAATGTTGAGATCTCAAACTAAACAGACTCTGCTAACCGACGTTTCACGAAATTCAGAATCAGATGTAAAAATCGAAGTTATAAAAATTGAGGAAGAGAAACTAATGAGAGCAGACCTAATTGATATACAATTGAATGAACAGAAACGAGAAGAAGGTAGACCGGCGGATATGTCCAATAATTTAGAACAAATTACTCCAAAAGAATCAGAAGTATCAGAACCGTTAAAGGCAGAAAAAAATGTAGAGACGTTTGTCGATATCGATATCCCATGGGATGGTGTTCCAATAAAGGAAGAAGCTGATCCGGAAATGGATTTCAAATTATCGGATATCAGAAGGATATATCATGTCGATGTTGTTAATGTCGGTGAAAACAAAATTGATGTTAAGCAAAAAATTAATGAATTTGATTCAACTGGACAAAGCGAGAACTGGCACCAAGACAGCTTTCCTTTCGTAAGTTATAATAACTAAACACCCTGTCAAATAATATAACGCCAATAGACAAATGACACTAGTACCAACACTAACAAAATATACAATTTAGCAAATATATGTAATCTGTATAACACGATCATAGACATATTGGAACTCGAGCCTTTTGGTCATTGGCGAAGGCAACTCAGGGAAACTTTTGTCAGCCCTCTTTACCATCCTTGCGAAAGGAGGATAACTTGATGGCTCACTTGGCGAAAGAGAAAGCAGAGCTCCTTTGCTCTCTCTTTGCATCTAACTCCACGCTCAATGACTCAGGGACCTTACCGCCTACTATTCCGCATTGCGGGTTTTCTATGCCTGAAGTTTGATTCGAACAGATTGGTGTGAAGCAGGCCTTAATCTCCCTTGATACCCACAAGTCAAGTGGTCCTGACGGCCTTCCCTCAATTGTTCATAAGACTTGTGATTCGGAGCTGACTCCGGTCCTCGTCTCGTACTCCTCGGGCGTAGTTCTAAGCTCATGGAAGACTGCCCATGTTCATCCCATTCCAAAAAAAGGTGACCGCTCTGAACCATCCAGCTACAAACCTTTCGCAATCACTTCTTTATTTTCCAAGGTAATGGAGTCTATCATCAATAGGCAGCTCTTGCGATACCTGGAGGAGCACCAGCTAATTAGTGATCGTCAGTATGGCTTTCGCCGTGGCCGCTCGGCTGGTGATCTTCTTGCCTATCTAACTCATAGATGGGCCGAAGCTGTGGAAAGTAAGGGAGAGGCATTGGCCGCCAGCTTGGATATAGCTAAGGCCTTTGATAGGGTTTGGCATAGGGAGCTTCTTTCGAAACTACCGTCATACGGTTTGCCCGATGGCTGGCAAATTTTCTTGTAGGACGTAGCATAAAAGTCCTAGTTGACGGAGCGTGCAATCCAATCCTAGACCCATCAATGCAGGCGTTCCGCAAGGTTGTGTCCTTTCGCCGACCCTGTTCGTTCTGCATATCAGACCTGTTGAATATCGACAACATCCATTGCTATGCAGACGACAGTGCCATCGACACATTATATTCCGGCCATCCGAACATGTCTCGATCTGTCAGTAGTAACAACCTTGTTCAGTTTAATCCTACAAAGACGCAGGTTTGTTCGTTTTCTGCCAAGAAAGATCTTTTTGTCGTGTCTCCTCAATTTGAAGGCGCACTCCTTAGTTCGTCACACAGCTTCAGTATGCTTGGGGTTGGCATTTTGAAAGAAGTCCAATTCCGCAGTCATCTGGAAGAAAAAGCCAAACTGGCTTCCAAAAAGCTGGGTGTTTTGGGTAGGGCTAAGTAGTATTTCACTGAGGTGTGCAACGTATGCAGCTTTACAAAGCTCAAGTACGACCTCATATGGAATACTGCTCGCATCTCTGGGCCGGTGCTCCCAAATACCAGCTTCTTCCTTTTGACCAAATTCAGCGAAGGGCTTGTCGAATTGTCAATCTCCAATGTCGTTGGAGGTCTTCCACAGTCCGTTTCACAAGGCATTTTCATTTGCAAACTAGCTAACTGTGGAATCGGCTCCCGGGGGGGTCTTCCCTCAGAGATACAACCTCCAAATGTTTAAAAAGCGAGTCTACTCCTCCCTCAAAGGCCGGCAACGCGCAGACTGCCCTTTTTGGTCGTCCTGCAAGCTCGTTTGCCCCCCTATTATATAAAAATAAAAATCTTCAAATGTCCAAACCTTTCACTAAATATTTGTTTCCAACACACAAATAGTATTTACGATACTCCAAAGCCCGTACCATCCTCCAAGAGATCAAAGACATCCCATCCCACCACCTTCGTCTCTAGCCATGTCTGTTGACTCCAAAATGGCTGGAATATTGCAAACCTACAATTAAGTTAAACCTTATAAATTTCAGTCGCATTTCATCACCATCACACCGAATGTAGCTTTAAATACCGATGATGAAAGTAACCGAACACAGAGGAAGAAGGAAATGTAAGTTGTATATTATGTTTATTTGACGACTAATAATTAGTCGTCAAATAAACATAATATATATTATAAATGAAATATTCTTAAACTACAGTATTAATTTACATAATTGTTTAATTGAAATCTAATGTACAGATTTAGTAACATTTTTATAAGTGAACGGCTATGGGTAATATTCCAACTCCCGAAAGTCCAAAATGTTTTGGATTTTTATATACGGCCAATAGTTATAGTTCGCCCTTATTCTATCTTCTGAATCTGTCCTTTAATTCTCTCCTTTAATAAAAAAACATATAGATGTATGAAATAAAGACTCTTATGAATATGCATAATATTCACGTATAAGCTCAAAGACTTCAAGGATATGCCCCCGTGACCGCACTGTGGACAGATCAACTCCGGAACGCCGTGCGTTTCAAAGTGCAACAGATATTTCGGCATCGAATCAAAACTTTTTTTACATAACGAACAATGATAATTATAAAGGTGAATTAATTTTTGACATTCGTATCGTTTGTGTTGTTTGTATAATCTGTTAGTATAAGATCCCGATATACAACGACCTTCACCGAGATGCTTATTTAATGGAACGTATTTTATATTTAATTTAATATAATCCATATGGGTTGCCTAGCAAATTTCAGTCCAGAGTATGTTTAATTAATATTTAAAAAAAAAATATTTTTTTATAATTTGCATGTAGTAATTTTTTTTAATTATTTTCAATCAATATTTTTAATCAGGGTAGTATTATACTATATGTATCACTATAACTTTCTTTTTTACTAAAGATGTATATATACTTTAGTGTCACATAAAAAATATACACAAAAATAAATAATTGATTAAAAACAACCAAACGTTTGCATATTCTATGGGCTTCATACTTTCGATTGGTATAGAATTTATCTAATAATCATACCGGTGAAATGTTAATTTTTTTATTTTTTTTTATTTTAATTAAAATACTCTGGACTGAAATTTGCTAGGCAACCCATATGGATTATATTTATTGACATATTAAATTAAATATAAAATACGTTTCATTAAATAAGCATCTCGGTGAAGGTCGTATATCGGGATCTTAGACCATGTGCACGCCTTTGAAGTTACAGCGAATGCAGCTGTATAGTCTGTATCAAAAAAAACGTGTGTCACTCGGGGACTGCCGCGGTAAAGCTTTTGCGTAGTATTTTCAACTTATGCAATTTTAATAAATTATTTATTTTTTATTTCTGCACTATTTTTTTTTCTTTGATATTCATTCAAGTTACACTTTTTGAGCGTGGTGACCTATAAGAAAACAATTTTTTTTTTGTTTTATTAAATAAATAAGAAGATGAAAAAAAATTTATTATCTTATCGAATACTATTAGGTTATTCAGGAATTTTTATCATTAAAACTATAGGTTTATGGTAACTGAAATAAGAAACATATGTTTGAGTCTTGATCCTCTAAATATCTGGAAAATACCGCGTCAATGGTGGTCCCATATTTTGTTGTGGATTCTTGTGGATCATAATTCATTTTCAAAATCAATTTTTCTGAAAGAAAATGAAAAGTATGTCAGCCGCTCCGATTTATAGAAAAAGAACTAAAATAAATCAGTATATTATTATAAAAACAACCTAAATTTTTGATATTAAAATTAGCTATCTTAAAGGTAGCCCAAACACACACAAACATATAGTGGAAATTCTCAATATGTTGGTGTTATTCTTCATTATGTATATATAAACTATTAAACCTGTGTGTACTATATTTTAGTATGTTATGTTTTTTGTGTATAGGTAATTTACATATCTTAGTATCGTTCTTTTTGTTCAAATTTTTGAATTAATAATTTTCTTGGTGTTAAATTACACTTATTATACCTAGCTATTTTTATTTTTATAGAGAACTTCTTAAAGAACTTAAAGAGCTAAAAAAAAAAAGAAATCGTGAACGTCAAAGGGCATATTATCACCGGCAGAAAGAATTGAAGAAAAATGAAAAAGAAAGAAGAAAAAAAGAAACAGCCCCTAAATCAAATGCTGAACGTCAAAGGAAATTTCGTCAACGTAATGCAGAAAAATCTTACGTGGATATTATGTAATTTGATTTAATAATATTTAATAAAAACAATTTGTATTATGTCTCAATATTATTTAACTTTACGATTTCCTCATTTTTTTCACAGCAAAAGACAAAAATTGGACAGTAATGAAGATAATGTCTTGCAATATAGGGCTGTTGAAAATGTAACGCTACAACAAAATCAATTTCACAGCCAACAACTTCAAATTTATGAACAGTGCAATAAATGCATTACCCCCGAAGTTATTCTTAACAGGAACACAGAAATTCCTGGCGATGGTAATTGTCTATTCCACTCGCTCATAAGTGTTTTGCACCTTCAAATTAAGACTTGTGACTTGAGAAATCAGTTACGCGATTCGCCCTATTTAAACTCCTGTCACAATCCGCAAGAAGCATATAAAATTCTATCAAGCACTAATGATTACGGAGATTTGGATTGTTTGTACTTATTTTCAAAAATGTACAATCAAAATGTTTGTGTACATTATTGTTTTTACAACATAACTACAAAGAATCAAGACACTATCTTTTGTCATTTTAAAGCGAATGATACACAAAACTGGATTCATCTTCATCTTCGTGAACAACATTTCACACCTTTTTATGAAGTATCAGATTTATCGGGGACAATACAAGAGGCTACCCAAAATGAAGCCCATGTTGATGCCAATATTCAACTATTGCGTGACAATTATGATGAAGATCCTACCGAAGAAAACCAAAACAATCGTGAAGATGAAATTGAGATTGATAGAGAAGATCGAATTGGTGAAAATATTATGGATTTTATTGTTGATGGTACTATTCCAGTTTACAAGAATTATCGTAAACATAGTACAAGTCATATCGATTTTTATAAAGACTTTACGAGTAATTCGTTTGGTCATTCTTGTATTATTTGCGACAGACTATGGTGGAAAAGAGACTTGAAAATGTCGACCAGTAAGCATGAGAATATTCTGAAAACAATACTGCAGGTAATCTTAATTATACAGATTTTTTTTTTAATTATTCACTTTCATATATCTTGATAATACGAATTTGATTTTTTTAGAATTACACACCTGGTGAAATCGTTCAAGTCTGCTCTACGTGTTATACATCTTTGGAAAAAGGAAAAATTCCTCTCATGTCAACCTACAATGGTTTTTCATATCCGAAAATTCCATCACATTTACCAACATTAAACCTTATCGAGCAACGATTGATTTCACCGACAATACCGTTCATGCAAATTCGTAGACTGAGACACGTTAACGGTCAGAACGATATTTATGGCCAGATAATTAATGTTCCTGTCGAATTTAATACAATGGTGAAACAATTGCCAAGAAACATTCAAGATGACCATTGCTTTTATGTGAATTTGAAAAAGAAGTTGATTCACAAAACTAGTTATGTCCTCGAGCTTATTAATAAGAGCCATATTAAAGAGTGGTTGTCGTATTTAGTATCTACGCCTCTTTATATTTATCATGACATCAAAATCGATGAATCTTTTTTTACCGGTAATGAACGTTCTTCGCAATTGAATATGGATGAAATAAGTGAACATCTGCCAATTGAAGACAATTTAGTTGCGCAGCAACAAACTCTCTTGTGGAATAATGATTGGTTTTTAAGTCTTGCACTCGGTGAATATAACAGGCCAGTCAGTATTTTAATGGATGAACATGCGGAAGAACTATCTTTTCCGACAATCTACGGCGGTCAGTTTCGAACATACAGAGATGGTGTTACCGTTACTCCATTCATGCAAGCTACCAGCGAACTTCGGCGTACTGATAGGCGTGCTACTGACCCACAACACCTTTTATACATCGCTGCTAAAATCATGAGGTTGCGAGTTAGTGGATGTCTGAACGTTGCGTTTAAGCATGTTGGACAACGTACTTCAATTACGAAGGAGACCATTCAATCTGAAGAATATATAAATAATTGTTTAGAAACAAATCTCGCATTTCTTCGCTATGTACCAAATTCTGCTTGGTTTTGGTCAGATCGCAAAAAAGATCTTTTTGCAATGATCAGGCAATTAGGGCCACCTACTGCTTTTATGACTCTAAGCGCCAATGAAACTGGCTGGGAAAATTTGTTGAAATTGTTGTACAAATTAAAAAACGAGGGAGCTGAAATTTCAGATGAGTATTTAGCAGAAATGAGTTATGTGCATAAAGCTCAACTTGTGAATGAAGATGCCGTAACTTGTGCTATTTATTTGAATAAAATGGTAAATTGTCTGTTAAAAGTTTTGCAATCAAAGAAAAGAACTCCATTCGGAAAATATAGAGTAGTACATTATTTTAAAAGAACAGAATTTCAACATTGTGGTAGCCCACATGCTCATATTCTTCTTTGGTTGGAAAATGTTCCTAAAGATTTATCAAGCAATGATCCTGAAGTAATAAAATTAATCGACGAATTAGTTTCTGTGTCTGCGTCAGAGGCGTCTGGAAATATAAAACTAGTAACACACAAACACACATTCACGTGTTATAAAAAAATGAATCCTAATGAAAAGCAAGAATGTAGATTTGGTGCACCATTTATGCCAACAAAAAAAACTATTAATTTGAAGCCTATGAAAGACACTGATCACGATTATTCACAAGCACTTTTCAAAGAATATAAGAAACAATTTAAATTTATAAGAAATAATCTCGAAAATTTTGACTACACGAATTTTGATGAATTTTACTCGCATAATGATATTATTTCTGATGATCATTACTACAATATTGTTCGTTCTGGAATCAATAGACCAACATTATTCTATAAAAGGACACCAGCAGAAAAATGGCACAACACTTTCAATCCATTCGTATTACATCATTTGAAATCGAACATGGATTTTCAGATTATACTAGATGAATATGCTTGTGCAACATATGTTGTTGAATATGTCAAGAAGCATAATACAGGGATTAGTAATTTGCAAAGACAAATAATTGACATAATGGACGAGCATCCAGAATTCGACATTGTCAATATTACGAAAAAAATTAGTATCGACATACTTCGATCTGTTAAAATGCCGGCACAAGAAGCTGCTTGGTATTTATTAAGAGAACCTATGGCTAAGTCATCGGCAGTGACAGTCTACATTCCAACGGTATTTCCTACTGAACGCGCAAGAATTAGAAAATCTATGAAGGAACTTGAAGCTATAGATGATGATTGTACGAACGTTTGGAAAGAGAATTGGTTCGATAAGTACGAGAAAAGACCTGAAGAACTCCGCGATGTTACGTTAGCACAATTTGTTGCAAAATATTACCTGAATAAAAAGTGGACCTACACTAAAAGAGATACTGCAAGAATAATAAGATACAGGAACTACGATATGGCTGACAATTACAATGATTATAGGCGTGAGATGGTTCTGTTGCATGTTCCTTTTCAAAGTGAAGAACTTGATATTATTGCTGAAAATAAGTTCATTCAAATATACGAGGACAACAAAGATACGATATTAGAACGTAGGAAAGAATTTGAATCAAATTTGGATATAGAGAAAACTTTAGAAATTTGTAGACAGTTGTGCCGAGAAAACGATGAAGAACAACAAGAAGACGAAGAATTATTGATAAATTGCATGAAAGAGATCCTTATGACTGGAGGGCAGTTGATAATATAGAAAATGTAACGCTACAAGAAAATCAATTTCAGAGCCAACAACTTCAAATTTATTAACAGCGTAATGTATGCATTACTCCCGAAGTTATTCTAAACAGGAACACAGGAATTCCTGGCGATGGTAATTGTCTATTCCACTCGCTCATAAGTGTTTTGCACCTTCAAATTAAGACTTGTGACTTGAGAAATCAGTTACGCGATTCGCCCTATTTAAACTCCTGTCACAATCCGCAAGAAGAATATAAAATTCTATCAAGCACTAATGATTACGGAGATTTGGATTGTTTGTACTTATTTTCAAAAATGTATAATCATAATGTGTGTGTACATTATTGTTATTACAACATAACTACAAATAATAAAGCGAATGATACACAAAACTGACAATCATGAAATTGAGATTGGTAGAAAAGATAGAATTGGTGAAAATATTATGGATTTTATTGTTGATCTATTCCAGTTTACAAAAATTATCGTAAACACAGTACAGTCATATTGATTTTCATAAAGACTTTATGAGTAATTCGTTTGGTCATTCTTGTATTATTTGCGACAGACTGGTGGAAAGAGGCTTGAAAATGTCGACCATTAAGCATGAGAGTATTCTGAAAATATTACTGCAGGTAATCTTAATTATATTGTTTTTTTTTAGCTATTGCATAACTTTTATCTATATATATAATATTAGGTTTAACTTACAGCCTTCTCTTCTCATTCACATTGCCCCAATTCTAATAAAGTACTACATACTAGCCGTAGCTATATGTACGTATATAATCTAGGAGTATAAAAAGTTTAAATCGATTCCTTTCATTTTCAAATCTTGAGGTTAAAAATAAACATTATTCTTCATTTCAGTAAAACCAGCCTGTTTGATTAAATTTGAATAGTTTTTACATGATCTGTAGACATTTTCTCGGCTCTGTCATCAGGGACATCTATCCTCCGAGCAAATCTCTTCAGGTGTTTTATGTCTGTTGTATATCGAGAACGGTTTCGTGGTTTTCTGCCACACTTAAATTTTTTAGTATGTAACAGGAGGCAAATGGGCTGGAGGCCAACCTGATCTTATGTGAGACCGCCGCCCATGGACACTCACATTGCCAGAAGGCTCGCAAGTGCGTTACCGGCGTTTTAAGAATGGGCACGCTCTGTTCTTGAAGGACTCGTAAGTCGAATTGGTTCGGAAATACTTTAGTGGGCCAGCTTCCACATAGTGGTGGTGCGCGGCTCGGATTCGTGTTCCGCCTCGACGTCCAATGATGAAACTCCGCTGCATGTGTTAGTCTGAACACTCTCCATGGAAAAGGCGGTAGACACCCCATATCTCATCTCTTTCATGCAACGAAAAATGCAACAAAAGATCATAATGTCACAATTAGTAAGTACCGATAAAAATATAAAATAAACTATAAGAATCATAACCACTCAGTCCAACTAACCGGCAACACGCGCTTAAAATCAAAGATTGAGATTGATACACCTTCTACTTCCTTTATTTTACGGTAAATTTTGAAAATAATATTTCTCGCTTGAGATCGAAGTGGTTTTTTCGACATTTTCATTTGTTCGAAATTCGCAAGGATATTTTAAGTGTTGTCTCATCAGATTTCACTGAGATTTTATCTAGGCCTCACTTTTTACATTTTTAGACAAATCATTAAATTACTAGAAAATAATCCCAAAATAAATGATTTTAGTTTATAAAGTCGCTATTTTTGTTAGTCAACTTTTTAACACAAACGATCTATTTGAAGTATTATTCCTTAAACATAACATGAATATAGGGTATTAACAAAACGAACCGTTCCAAAATGAGTGATTTTGGCGAAATGTTATGGAACACTGGTTTAAATTTAATTTCTGAACGCACTACACGCTGACCACAGATCTGCCTAACCGATACACGACCACATCCATCAAGTGCATAATCTATATAAGCCTTCAAAATTGACATTGTGCATGTTCTTGAGTTAAGCGATATGTCAATATTTTCTTTTCTAACTGTTAAAAAACAAGAAACAGAATGTGTCAGTTTTTAGAACTTCTTTTTTGTTTAATATAGATTATAGAACTCATAGTTAAAGGTATCTTCATCATGTATTATTTTGTTTTGACTTTTGTGACGATTTTTACTCTGTGAATTGATTTGTGTATGTTTCCAAATGAAATAAAAAATGGATAATAATGGAAGAAAATGTACAAAAACGAAGCTTGCTCCACCTTGCTTAAAAAGTTATGTAGGTAATTCGAAAATATAATCCAATATACAAATTTTTTATTATTGATTTTTATGCTTACTTATCCCTATTTTTTATTTACAGATTTGTAATATGTTTACATTAATAGATTGTTTGACGCATTTTATAGCAGATGTATTGTTTTTTACAAAGTTAATTTGTAAATTTTAATGCTGGTATGCAATAAATAAAAAATGTTGCAGTGCTGGAAATTTTAAGTAAAAATAGTTAACAATGCAAGTTAATTCATTGAATAATTCCTTTATTTATTAGGCAATTTGTTTCAGTACCCGCTCCAATTAAACTTTTAATTGATATAGAAACTAACAGAAAATGTATTATTACTAATATGAAAAGTAGAAAGATAAAAAAGCATTATCATATTTCAATACATGTTTGAAGTGGTCTGAGTAAATAGTAATAAGTCACTAGTGGTATTTATGAGTCTTGGTCTTGGATTTCTGAATTAATCTCAAAACATTTTTATTCACCATATTTTATAAATTCACATGTGATTTCAGTTCTTTTATAATTTTTTTAGAGTGTTGTGGAAAGTACATTAGCAAGAATTAATGTAAAAAAGCACTACCTTCAGTAGCTATTGCTACTCAATCTAGTAAAATAAACACAAATTCCATTCGGGAAATGAATCCAGGCCGAAGTAATATAATTCCTATGAATTTTGACATTAAGGTAGAAGTAGAGAATAAGGTAGAAGTAGAGAATGTTGATGAGAATGCAATAGAAAAACAGCATGAAATAATAAGTTGGCGGGAAATAGTGAAAAAATCTACTGAAATTTATATTCAATCAAATAATATTGGTGATAAAACACTACATGGACAGGTTAGTTTTTTTAATAGAGAGAAAACATCAGATAGTTTTGTTTGCTGATGACACGTCCTTGATTTTTAAAATCAAACGACAAATAACAAATTTTGACGATGTGAACAATGCTCTGTCTTCGATTGTCCATTGGTTTAGTATGAATAACCTTCTACTTAATGCAAAAAAGACAAAATGCATTAAATTTTGTGCAAAAAATGCAAGGGTTATGGATACTAGACCAATTATAAACGGTGAGGAATTGAATCTAGATGATACAACTGTATTTCTCAGAATCACCATGGATTCAAAACTTCAGTGGTCCCCTCATATTAACGGATTGGCGAAGAGACTTAGTTCTGCAGCCTACGCGGTTAAAAAAATTCGCTCACTAACTGATGTCGATACAGCTAGACTTGTTTATTTTAGTTACTTTCATAGCTTAATGACTTATGGCTTATTATTATGGGGTCATGCTGCTGATGTCGAAACTATTTTCATCCTGCAGAAGAGGGCTATTCGTGCAATCTATAATTTAAAATGTAGGGAATCTCTTAGAGATAAATTCAAGGAAATTAATATACTTACCTTTCCCTCGCAATATATTTATGAAAATATTATGTATGTATACAAAAATAGTGATAAGTTTACTAGAATAGAACATACGCACAATGTTAATACACGGAACAAACGCAGGCTGCAATTTCCCCCGTACTAGACTATCTAAAGTTAGTAATTCTTTTTTGGGGAAAGGGATACTCTTCTTTAATAAAATCCCAGAGGCTCTTTTATCACTGCCTTTCAATAAATTTAAGAAATGTATTAAAGAAAAGCTGTGTAAAAAGGCTTACTATAAAGTCAACGATTATCTAGTTGATAAAAGGGCCTGGGACTAGTGCTAGACAGGCTACTTCTAATCAATTTGCGATATTTGTTTTAAATAAGTGTTGTTTGATGATTTGCTGTTTTAAAAGAGTACCGAGAGTTTTTTACGCCGGCTTTTTCTCTCGGCCTACACCCTCTGTCTTCTTTGCCGATGAGTAGGGATGCCTTCAAATTTAATGACGTGGAATAAGTGATACATGTATCTTATGTTCCATAATAAACATATTTTTTTATTTTATAATAAAACACTATTTTGTCACCGTGACCACGCACGCTGTAAAGCACGCGAAACGTCGGATAAATTTAAAATTATGTTAAATAGTTGTAAATTTATAATAATACATAACTTCAATCCGGTCAAAATAGTGTTTTATTAAATGAATAAAAGTTATGTTAATCAAAGACAATACCAGGTTAGTTTTGAAAATATTATTTAATTAGTTGTTGCATATGTGAGTTGTTTGTAATCCTTCAATTCCCTGTTGAAGGATTATGGTATTTATATTTTATACTGCCTTCAGCTCAATAGACATTCATTTTAATTTGCTCATATATTCATGTGGTGCGTGCCCTTACCAATTCAAACACTTTTGATTTCAGAGTTCCATCCCTAAAACCATAGGGGATAGATTAAAATCTACGCCAGCCAAACATGATTGTGAGTATTCTTATAAAACATACATTTTACCATATAATAAATCATATTATATCTTTTCTGTTTCTATCCATTATTTAAAACTTTAATTTTACAGCACCGGTTGATAGTCAAAAAAATACTTTCCTATTGTCTCATGGTACTCAAGATATGGTGAATGATAGAGATGATGATGTCATTATCATTGATAATGTGCCTGAAGTTATTGTTATACCATCTGATGACGCACCTAATGATGATCTCCCTTGTGTCATTGCTAATGTCAAATCCGAACCACTTGAAAATGAATTACAAACATCTAAAACAAAACATACTGTTACACCACAAAATGATTTCGAATGTAAAACGATGGAAATCCAAATACCTAAAGACACAAAAGATGTATTTAAATGCCTATCAGATGGAAACAGCATTAATGATGATAAAGTATTAAGTATTGAAGAAATTAAAAGGGAACCGGAATTAAAAGGGAATAGTGAACTGAATGTCTCCATGGAATCTACATTTGGAATTATAAATACACAAAGTATGACGACAAATAATGTAAATACAGTTAATAATATAAAAATGTTGAGATCTCAAACTAAACAGACTCTGCTAACCGACGTTTCACGAAATTCAGAATCAGATGTAAAAATCGAAGTTATAAAAATTGAGGAAGAGAAACTAATGAAAGTAGACCTAAGTGATATACAATTGAATGAACGAGAAGAAGGTAGACCGGCGGATATGTCCAATAATTTAGAACAAATTACTCCAAATGAATCAGAAGTATCAGAACCGTTAAAGGCAGAAAAAAATGTAGAGACGTTTGTCGATATCGATATCCCATGGGATGCTGTTCCAATAAAGGAAGAAGCTGATCCGGAAATGGATTTCAAATTATCGGATATCAGAAGGATATATCATGTCGATGTTGTTAATGTCGGCGAAAACAAAATTGGACAAAGCGAGAACTGGCACCAAGACAGATTTGCTTTCGTAAGTGATAATAACTAAACACCCTGTCAAATAATATAACGCCAATAGACAAATGACACTAGTACCAACACTAACAAAATATACGATTTAGCAAATATATTTAATTTAAATTTAATGTTCAAACCTTTAACTAAATATTTGTTTTCAACACACAAATAGTATTTACGATACTCCAAAGCCCGTCCCATCCTCCAAGAGATCAAAGACATCCCATCCGACCGCCTTCGTCTCTAGCCATGTCTGTTGACTCCAAAATGGCTGGAATATTGCAAACCTACAATTAAGTTAAACCTTATAAATTTCAGTCGCATTTCATCACCATCACACCGAATGTAGCTTTAAATACCGATGATGAAAGTAACCGAACACAGAGGAAGAAGGAAATGTAAGTTGTATATTATGTTTATTTGACGACTAATTATAAATGAAATATTCTTAAACTACAGTATAAATGTACATAATTGTTTAATTTAAATCTAATGTACAGATTTAGTAACAATTTTTATAAGTGAACGGCTATGGGTAATATTCCAACTCCCGAAAGTCCAAAATTTTTTGGATTTTTATATACGGCCAATAGTTATAGTTCGCCCTTACTCTATCTTTTGAATCTCTCCTTAAATTCTCGCCTTTAATAAAAAAATCGGTTGTCGGTAAAGTCGGTTTACCGACGATAGTTGAACGTGACAACGTCATGAATTGAAATACTGAAGGAATGGTTGCATTTTTTCAAAAGATAAGGTTAATTTTATTTGTTTGATAGATATATTCTATGGGTATAGAGAAGGGGGTAAATGAAAATCACAATTGAATTGATTGATTACAATATAATCGATATAATACGATATATACAATAAAGATGTCGATCGCTGCCGAACGCGGAGGCCGATTGTGCCTCTTTGTCGCTCGTTCCGCGCTCTCGCTTGCACTTCAAGCCTTAAATGTAACGCCTCAGAGGTAACGCCGCCTGCGTCATGTTTTTTCGTGCGTGCAGCCGGCTCCATCGAATTATAAGACGTTGTCACGTCAAAAAACGTATAGATATACGAAATAAAGACTCTTGATATGCATCTTCACGTGTAAGCTCAAAGACTTCAAGGATATGCCCCCGTGAGCGCACTGTGGACAGATCAACTCCGGAACGCCGTGCTTTTCAAAGTGCAACAGATATTTATGCATCGAATCAAAACTTTTTTTACATAACGAACAATGATAATTATAAAGGTGAATTGATTTTTGACATTCGTATCGTTTGTGTTGTTTATATAGTCTGTGCACGCCTTTGAAGTAACAGCGAATGCAGCTGTATAGTCTGTAACAAAAAAAAAACGTGTGTCACTCGGGGACGGCCGCGGCAAAGCTTTTGCGTAGTATTTTTTATCAACTTATGCAATTTTAATAAATTATTTATTTTTTATTTATGCAGTATTTTATTTCTTTAATATTAATTCAAGTTACACTTTTTGAGCGTGGTGATCTATAAGAAATATTCTTTTTTCTTTTATTAAATAAATAAGAAGATGAAAAAAAAAATTATTATCTTATCGAATACTATTAGGTTATTCAGGAATTTTTATCATTAAAACTATAGGTTTATGGTAACTGAAATAAGAAACATAAGTTTGAGTCTTGATCCTCTAAATATCTGGAAAATACCGCGTCAATGGTGGTCCCATATTTTGTTGTGGATTCTTGTGGATCATTATTCATTTTCAAATTCAATTTTTCCGAAAGAAAAGATTGTCAACCGCTCCGATTTAAAGAAAAAAAAACTAAAATAAATCAGTATATTATTATAAAAACAACCTAAATTTTTCATATTAAAATGATCCTAAAGGTAGCCCAAACACACAAACATATAGTGGAAATTCTCAATATGTTGGTGTTATTCTTCATTATGTATGTAGAAACTACTAAACCTGTGTGTACTATATTTTAGTATGTTATGTTTTTGACGTGACAACGTCTTATTATTCGATGGAGCCGGCTGCACGCACGAAAAATCATGACTCATGCGGCGTTACCTCGCTCTGAGGCGTTCCATTTAAAATTGACATAATTGCATTTATGCGTACAAATAAATGTAACTTGATCAATTCAATTGTGATTTCCATTTACCTCCTTCTCTATATCCATACAAAATACCTATCAAACAAATAACTTTTTTTTTTTTTTTTGAAAAATGCAACCATCCCATCAATATTTTTTTATGACGTTGTCACGTTCAACTATCGTCAGTAAACCAACTTTACAGACAACCGATTTTTTTAAATTGTTTCGAACGACGATTTATTTTGCAGAACCGCTTACAATCCCACCATGGGAAAAAAGCCTGACGAACTAGAGGACGTCACGAATAAACTACCTTCGATGAGTGAACCCACGGAGGTTCAAGATCCTGTAGCATCTACTTTAGCAACGCTATTCGCGCAGCCAATAATGACTGCTTCAAAATCGAAAGCCCAAAGACAACGTGAGTACAGACAGCGTCTCAAAGCATCTAGAACTCCTGCTCAGGCGGCTGCTGCGAGAAAATCGAAAAACGAAAGACAACGCAACAACAGATTACGCCAAGCTGCTAACTTGGCTATTCCCAGTAATTCTCTTGAAACGACAACTACATCTCCATCTCGTTCAGGGGAAGAGTCGAACAATGTCCAAACAAGAAGTCAACGAGAACACGCGCAACAACAATCTACCACCACTGCAGATCAACCTGATGAGCGTGTCTATCTCACAAATGAGCCACTCTTTCCTGCAATTCCTGTTCCCATGGAGGTTCAAGAAGCTGTTGCATCTACTTTAGCAGCACTATTTGCAGAACGAACAACTGCTCCAAAAACAAGGGCACAAATACAACGTGAGTACAGACAGCGTATCACAGCATCTAGAACTCCTGCTCAGGCGGCTGCTGCGAGAAAATCGAAAAACGAAAGACAACGCAACAACAGATTACGCCAAGCTTCTAACTTGGTTATTGCCAGTGGTTCTCTAGAAGCGACAACTACATCCTCATCTCGTTCAGGGCAAAGGTTAAACACCGTCCATATTGATACTCAACGACAATTTACCGACCAACAACGTCAACTTTAGCTACAGAACCAGCAGAAACTACTGTACAACCAAGTACTTCTTCAGATCAAATTGAGGTTCAAGCACAATCTACTTGGAACACTAAATGGTCATCATCAATCATAAGATTCAAATCTACTTTTTGACGTGATAACGTCTTATAATTCGATGGAGCTGGCAGCACGCACGAAACAACATGACGAATGCGACGTTACCTCGCTCTGAGGCGTTCCATTTAAGGCTTAAAGTGCAAGCGAGAGCGCCGAATGAGCGACAAAGAGGCACAATCAGCCTCCGCGTTCGGCAGCGTTCGACATCTTTATTGTATATAAAGTATATATCGTATAATATCGATTATATTGTCATCGATCAATTCAATTGTGATTTCCATTTACCTCCTTCTCTATATCCATACAAAATATCTATCAAACAAAAAAGATTAAATTTTCTTTTGAAAAATGCAACCATTCCATCAGTATTTTCTTATGACGTTGTCACGTTCAACTATCGTCAGTAAACCGACTTTACAGACAACCGATTTTTTTGGTCAACGATTTTGGCTACGCTTGCTCGGTCTGTGACAGACTTTGGTTTAGAAACGACCTTAAACCCATCACTGCAGCACAGCTGAAGGTAATTTCGGATTGGTTTATCAAAGAAAATCGACAACTGAGCAGCGAAGAATATGAACTGGTTTGCAACACTTGCAAAAAGTCACTAAACAAACAATCGATGCCACCGCTAGCAAAAGTTAATGGATTCTCATATCCTGACCCGCCACCAGGCCTACCACTGTTAGATCCCATCAGTGAACGATTGAATTCGCGTCGTCTACCATTTATGCAAGTGCGTCGTCTTCGCCATGATTTTTCTTATGGAATCATAGGACAAGTGATAAACGTACCAGTCGACGTTCAAGAAATGGTAAAATGTTTGCCGCGACAATTGGATGAGGACGACGTTATTAATGTAAACATTAAAAGAAACCTTGCCCAAAAATCTGTTGACATTAGCGGATACATGTCCAAAAGTACAGTTACTTCGTGGTTAACTGTTCTGCAGAACTCTCCATTATATCGTTTGTACGAAATCAAAGTGGACTTGTCGAGACTGAATCATGCTTTGCCAGACTTCGATAACGTAGAGGATGACCCGTCAAACCGTATAGAAAATATCTCCGCAGAACAGAATCCTGAATCTGAAATTCTCGCTTCAAGACAACATACCGTGATGTGAAACGAAGAAGATTGTCTCAATATCGCACCAGGACACCGGGCAACTCCCCTCAATATCATTTACGACCGTCATGCAGAAGAGTTGTCATTCCCATCAATATACTATGGAAATCCACGTCGATTCCACATGGGAGTTTCAGTGACACCTTACATGATGGCAACCAGTGAAATACGACGAAGCGATAGACGCGGAGCCACGCCTCAAAAAATATTGTACGTAGCAATGAAAATTTTGCGGCTACCTATGGTGGATGGAAGTTACAGCACGTTTCGCAACGTTTCAGTCACAGAAAATGATACACGACGTATGTTAGAAGACCCAGAACTTCTGAAAGAATATGTCTTACAAATCCTCGCATTCATGAAGACAGTGCCAAACTCCGTCCAATACTGGGCTTCTCGCAAACGTGACCTCTTTGCCATGATTCGTCAACTTGGTAAACCAACCATCTTTCTCACTATAAGTGCAAACGAAATACGATGGATGAAATTGCTTACTATTCTTCTCAGACTGAGCAATAAATATCCTGGAAAATCAGCAGGAGATCTCAACACTTCCGAGCGCTGTACTTTAGTTAGTGACGATCCTGTGACGTGCTGCATTTACTTCTACAAGCTCGTCGGTTCCTTGATGAAAATGCTGGAAAATGTATTTTGTTAGAGATTACTTCATTCGTTTTGAGTTCCAGCATCGAGGAAGCCCCCACGCACACATTTTATTGTGGTTAAACAACGACCCACATGAAACCCCGTCAGAAAATATGCCAAAAACCATTGAGCTCGTAGATAAATTGAGTACGGTAGCCCGGAATAATGTACCTAACAATTCTATCTACGCCAACCAGATACACAAACATACTTTCACATGCACGAAGCAAGGTGAGACAATTTGTAGATTCTGAATTCCGTACTGGCCAATGTCTACGAGTCGTGTATTGGTTCCAATGCCTCAATCTGATAAACGCCGTCGAACACTACAACAGAAGGCGAAAGAGCTGCGTACTTCACTCGATGAACGTCGGTACGCGGGCATGGATGTTTTTCTTGGAGCTAATGGTTTGACACACGGTTCATACCTTGACATTGTGCGCTCGACGTTACGCAGACCAACTCTTCTGTTCAGACGAAAATTTGACGAACTTATGACAAACAAGATCAATCCGTACATTGCTGGCGAAGTCAACTCAAACATCGACATTCAATTTATCTTGGATGAATACAGCTGCGCAGAGTATGTTGTGGAGTATGTAAATAAATCAGCTCGTGGAATGGGCAATCTACGTCATGAGCTTACTACGATGATGCAAGAGCATCCCGAACGGGACTACACAGACCAGTTGAAAGCTTTAAGCATCAAGCTGCACACACACAGTACAAGTCATATCGATTTTTATAAAGACTTTACGAGTAATTCGTTTGGTTATTCTTGTATTATTTGCGACAGACTATGGTGGAAAAGAGACTTGAAAATGTCGACCAGTAAGCATGAGAGTATTCTGAAAACAATACTGCAGGTAATCTTAATTATATAGCTTCTTTTAGCTATTGCATAGCTTTTATCTCGGGCTTTGAGCGCGGCGACCGAATCAAAAAATTCCGTAACGAAAATAAAACCTAACAACTAATAACACACCCCACTCGTTAAAATAAAAATTTTTCGCATTTTATTTCCGCTTTTGTTGCTTGTTGTTGTTTCTTGGTAAGTAGACAATATTTAAAATATTTCTTAAACCTTTATCTCAACTTAATTGCACAAAAGTAAATGTTACATTAACAACAACATTTGAATATATAAATAAGTGTTAAAAAAAGTAACATCGATTTCTTTTGTTACTTATTAAAATAACGTAGTAGAAAATGCTTAGTAACAAACGAGGAATTATAAGGTTCTGTTTATATTTGACAGTACAAGAAAATGCAACTAAGATATCAGATATGACCCAAACAGAAAAAGATATACAAAGACAAAAGTGGAGAGGAAAAAGAAAAAAACATTAAGGAAATATCAAGTAGCGGGAGCACAAATTCAGCAGCTGATGTAGTCAACATCTCATCTGGGAAGTAATCTGTGTCATCATCGACTTCGGAAGGTATAATCAGAGGAATCTCGACTGAAATATCAACTCCTAAATTATTAAATGCGACAAAGACAGCATATTTTCAGTAACTTAAAAAATATAAAAAAGATTTTGATAAATAAAGCAGATAAACCATTCGTTTTCTTATTAATTTATTAATCAATATAATAATATGTTTAACTTACAGCCTTCTCTTCTCATTCACATTGCCCCAATTCTGATAAAGTACAACATACTAGCCATAACTATATGTAGGGGGAGTCCGGGAGAGTTTAGCAGGTGGGAGACAATAGCCACTGCTCATAGAATTTTTGTGGAACTAAATATTGCGACGTTGCTTCACTTCTTAGACTCCATAGGCGCGTCCCACCCCGCTTACGCGTTGCCGTTGCGATTGGCAGTTAAGTTTAGGAGTGACAAGTGATAACACGTTTTCGAGCCCGGTAAGTAATTTTTTTAAATTTTCGATATTTGATTTCAGTTGTATACTGTGAATAGATTCCAGCATGTCATTTATATACATCGTAAATGTAATTATCCTAGTAACATTTACGGTAGACAGTTTTTACTTAAGTGTTATAGTTTTTTATAAAAATTTAATAACAGACAGCTTGGCGTGGGGTGGGAGACTTTACCCAGGGTAATCTCTCCCGTAATAATATTTTTTTATTTTATTGCAGATAATCATCAAAAATGCCTTTCAAATATATAAAAAAAGAAACGTCTAGAACCAGGAGCAATTTAGATCTGTCAGTAATAAGAAATGCTATATGTGACATTGATAAAGGAAATTCTATTAGAGGTGTTGCTTTGGAATATGGAATTGATCGAAATACTTTACGAAATTATTTAAGAGACAGGTCCAAATTGACTAAAATAACTGAACAAGGAAGTCAGTTTAAAACATCTTTGATATTTACGATCGAGGAAGAGAAAGCACTTGTTGACTATGTTCTAACTTGCAGCAAAATGAATTATGGCTTAACCAGACAGGCGGCTATGAAGCTGGCATATGAATATGCAACAATAAATTCTAAAAAGGTTCCAGATTCTTGGACTTCCAATAACTGTGCAGGAAAAGATTGGTTCAGAGGATTCATGACAAGAAACCCTGAACTAAGTTTGAGGACCCCAGAAGCTACCAGTTTATCAAGATCAACCAGCTTTAATAGAAAAAACGTTGCTGATTTTTTTGACAACCTCAAAGAAGTTAGAGAAAGATTTAAATTTGAAGCTCATAACATTTATAAGTGCGATGAAACGGGGTGTACGACTGTACAAGAATGTCCCAAAGTAATAGCGAGCAAGCATGTTCGTCAAGTTGGACAAGTAACTTCGGCTGAACGTGGCAGTCTTGTGACCGTTTGTTTCGCCGTGAACGCTCTGGGAAATGTTATTCCACCATTTTTCATATTCCCTAGGGTTAAATACAACGAATCCTTTGTAGCTAGTGGACCACCAGGCTCACAAGGTGACTCCTATCCGAGTGGATGGATGACAACCAAGAGTTTTGTAAAATTCATGGAGCATTTTGTCAAGTATTCGAAAGCGTCTGTTCAAAACCAAGTCCTGCTTATCCTCGACAACCACGAAAGCCATGTCAATATTGAAGTCGTCAAATACGCAAAATTACATGGAGTAACTTTGCTTTGCCTACGTATATAATCTAGGAGTATAAAAAGTTTAAATCGATTCCTTTCATTTTCAAATCTTGAGGTTGAAAATAAAAATTATTCTTATTGTACATTTCAGTAAAACTAGCCTGTTTGATTCAATTTGAATAGTTTTTACATGATCTGTAGACATTTTCTCAGCCCTGTCATCAGGGACATCTATCCTCCGAGCAAATCTCTTCAGGTGTTTTATGTCTGTTGTATATCGAGAACGGTTTCGTGGTTTTCTGCCACACTTAAATTTTTTATTATGTAACAGGAGGAAAATGGGCTGGAGGCCAACCTGATCTTAAGTGATACCGCCGCCCATGGACACTCACATTGCCAGAAGGCTCGCAAGTGCGTTGCCGGCGTTTTACGAATTGGCACGCTCTTTTCTTGAAGGACTCTAAGTCGAATTGGTTCGGAAATACTTTGGTGGGCCAGCTGCTTTCACATAGTGGTGGTGCGCGGCTCGGATTCGTATTCCGCCTCGACGTCCAATGATGAAACTCAGCTGCATGTGTTAGTCTGAACAACTCTTGTGAACACGCTCCATGGCAAATGCTGTAGAAGATGCAGAGACACCCCATATCTCATCTCTCATACAACGAAAAATGCAACAGAAGATCATGCAACTCGGAAAGCGACTGGTCTCCGACGATTCAAATCGCTCTTCGTTGAATACGGTCAATGTCTCTTATGTTTTACCAGGCCTCGAAAACACACCATCATTTTATGTGCCCTCAGTAACGATTCGCCGTTTAGTAATACTGGAAACCCCTATAAAGAAGTCACAATTAAGTACCGATAAAAATATAAAATAAACTAAAAGTATCACAACCACTCAGTCCAACTAACCGACAACACACGCTTTAAAATTAAAGATTGAGTTTGATTTACACCTTCTACTTCCTTTATTTTACGGTGAACTTTGAAAACAATATGTCTCGCTCAGGCATCTCAAGATTAAAGTGGCTTTTTCGACATTTTCACAAAAAACAACAAATTTTAAGAAGATAATCACGAAATCTCAGCAGCGATTGACAGATTTCGTAATTTGATTGGACAATTGACATTGCCATATAAAATCTCATTTTTTTATCTTTGTTTTATGACATAAGATTCCGGTAGACCTACTAATTTAAGGATTAGAGCTAAGTTAAAGAATTAGTGACTCGTGTGTGAAAAACATAATGGATTATGGATTTTACAAACGAGAGTTGAAATTAGCGCTTTGTCGCGACTCTGATGATGACTGGAATATTCAGCAACGACATAATCCCAAAATAAATGACTAGTTTATAGTCGCTATTTTTGTTATTCACCTTTTTTACACAAACGATCTATTTGAAGTATTATTCCTTAAACATAATATGAATACAGAATATAGGATATTAATAAAACGAACCGTTTCAAAATAAGTGATTTTGGCGAAATGTTATGGAACACTGGTTTTTAAATTTAATTTCTGAACGCACTACACGCTGACCACAGATCTGCCTAACCGACACACGACCACACCCACCAAGTGAAGTATGAAGATAATATACTATACAATATACATGCCTTCAAAATTGACATCGTGCATGTTCTTGAGTTAAGCGATATTATGTCAATATTTTCTTTTGTAACTGTTAAAAGCTAGGTGAGGGGTACCGGGTTCGATTCCCGGTTCGAGGGCAAGTTTTAATTTAATTCAAATTTGTTCTCGGCCTTTGGGAGGGTTGTGCGGTACCGGGCGAGTGCTTAAACCGTACATGGAGGACACGGTCGAATTTCTAAGGCAAGCACGAATTATAAAAAATCTTATACTTGACGCTGACTAATGCACAAACCGTGCCAGAGCCATACAGGAAAAAAAAAGAATGTGTCAGTTTTTAGAACTTCTTTTTTGTTTAAAAAAGAACTCATAGTTAAAGGTATCTTCATCATGTATTATTTTGCCATCTGACGATATTCACTCTTTGAATTGATTTGTGTATGTTTCCAAATGAAATACAAAATGGATAATGATGGAGGAAAATGTAAAAAAACGAAGCTTGCTCCACCTTGCTTAAAAAGTTATGTAGGTAATTCCAAAATATAATTCAATATTTTACCAAATTTTTAATTATCATTATAGTTATCAAATTAATAATCTATGTTAAGTTATTAAAACATTTATATGGGGAAATGGCCCATATTTGTGGGAACATGTTCTGTTATTGATTTTTGTGCTTACCTATCTACCCTATTTTTCATTTACAGATTCGAATATGATTATATTAATAGATTGTTTGAGGCATTTTATTGAAAATGTATTGTTATTTACAAAGTTAATTTGTAAATTTTAATGCTGGTATGCAATGAATAAAAAATGTTGGAGTGCTGGAAATATTAAGTAAAAATATTTAACAGTCATATTCATTGAATAATTACTTTTTTTATTAGGCAATTTGTTTAAGTACCCCCTCCAATTAAACTTTTAATTGCTATAAAAACTAACAGAAAATTATGACTAATTTGAAAAGTAGATAGATAAAAAGATTTTAAAGCATTAACATAGATCAATACATGTTTGAAGTGGTCTGAGTAAATAGTAATAAGTCACTAGTGGTATTTATGAGTCTTGGTCTTGGATTTCTGAATTAGTACTCATCTCAAAACATTTTTATTCACCATATTTTATAAATTCACATGTGATTTCAGTTCTTTTATAATTTTTTTAGAGTGTTGTGGAGAATACATTAGCAAGAATTAAAAGACCATGTAAAAAAGCACTACCTGCAGTAGCTATTGCTACTCAATCTAGACAAATAAACACACATTCCATTGGGAAAATAAATTCAGGCCGAAGTAATATAATGCCTATGAATTTTGAGATTAAGATAGAAGTAGAGAATGTTGACGAGAATGCAATAGAAAAACAGCATGAAATAATAAGTTGGAGGGAAATAGTGAAAAAATCTACTGAAATTTATATTCAATCAAATAATATTGGTGATAAAACACTACATGGACAGGTTAGTTTTGAAAATATTATTTATTTAGTTGTTTTTATTTCAAACAACTCACATATGCAATGTGAGTTGTTTGAAATCCTTCAATTCCCTATTGGAGGATTTTGGTATTTATATTTTATACTGCCTTCAGCTCAATACACTTTCATTTTAATTTGCTCATATATTCATGTGGTGCGTGCCCTTACCAATTCAAACACTTTTGATTTCAGATTTCCGTCCCAAAAACCATAGGGGATAGATTAAAATCTACGCCAGCCAAACATGACTGTGAGTATTCTTGTAAAACATACATTTTACTGTATAATAAATCATATTATATCCTTTCTGTTTCTATCCATTATTCAAAACTTTAATTTTACAGCACCGGTTGATAGTCAAAAAAATACTCTCCTATTGTCTCATGATATTCAAGATATGGTGAATGATAGAGATGATGATGATGATGTCATCATCATTGATAATGTGCCTGAAGTTATTGTTATACCATCTGATGACGCACCTAACAATGATCTCCCTTGTGTCATTGCTAATATTAAATCCGAACCACTTGAAAATGAATTACAAACATCTAAAACAAAACATACTGTTACACCACAAAATCGTTTTAAATGTAAGACGATGGTAACCCAATTACCTAAAGTCACAAAAGACGTATTTAAATGCCGATCAGATGGCAACAAAATTAATGATGATAAAGTATTAAGTATTGAAGAAATTAAAAGGGAACCGGAATTAAAAGGCAATAGTGAAATGAATGTCTCCATGGAATCTACATTTGGAATTATAAATACACAAAGTATGACGACAAATAATGTTAATACAATTAATAATATAAAAAAGTTGATACCTAAAACTAAACAGACTCTGCTAACCGACGTTTCACGAAATTTGGAATCAGATGTGAAAATCGAGGTTATAAAAAGTGAGGAAGAGAAACTAATGAGAGAAGACCTAAGTGATATACAATTGAATAAACAGAAACGAGAAGAAGGTAGACCGGCGGATATGTCCAATAATTTAGAACAAATTACTCCAAAAGAATCAGAAGTATCAGAACCGTTAAAGGCAGAAACAATTGTAGAGACGGTTGTCGAAGTCGATATCCCATGGGATGCTGTTTTAATAAAGGAAGAATCGGATCCGGAAATGGATTTACAAATTTCGGATACCAGAAGGATATATCATGTTGATGTTGTTAATGTCGGTGAAAACAAAATTGATGTTAAGCAAGAAATTAATGAATTTGATTCAACTGGACTAAGCGAGAACTGGCACCAAGACAGCTTTCCTTTCGTAAGTAATAATAACTAAACACCCTGTCAAATAATATAACGCCAATAGACAAATGCACGAGTACCAACACTAACAAAATATACGATTTAGCAAATATATTTAATCTGTATAGCACGATCATAGACATTATTTACACTATTCCAAATCCTCATTAATAATCGTAAAATAAATTTGTTTTACTAATCGATAAATAGTAAAACAAATTTATAAAGTTTGGTCCCTGTGGCAGTATACTTTAATGCTGGCAGCATTTCCTCGCTGTATTGCGATAGTTATTCGTTGATCGAGGAAAGCACCAGCTTTCGGGTCACCGGTGCAAGCGGGCGCCAACTTAAATCTTTAATAAGCGCCTGTTAACAAAGGGAACAAGTCAAAGTTGGAGGAAAGACTCTTATATTTGCCGCCTCAGCTTTTGTGCTTGCCCGAAGGCAGTAGCATCCCATACCAAAGCCCGTCCCATCCTCCAAGAGATCAAAGACATCCCATCCGGCCGCTTGCCTTCGTCTCGAGCTATGTCTGTTGACTCCAAAATGGCTGGAATATTGCAAACCTACAATTAAGTTAAACCTTATAAATTTCAGTCGCATTTCATCACCATCACACCGAATGTAGCTTTAAATACCGATGATGAAAGTAACCGAACACAGAGGAAGAAGGAAATGTAAGTTGTATATTATGTTTATTTTACGACTAATTATAAATGAAATATTCTTAAACTACAGTATAAATGTACATAATTGTTTAATTTAAATCTAATGTACAGATTTAGTAACATTTTTATAAGTGAACGGCTATGGGTAATATTCCAACTCCCGAAAGTCCAAAATGTTTTGGATTGTTATATACGGCCAATAGTTATAGTTCGCACTTATTCTATCTTCTGAATCACTCCCTAAATTCCTTTGATAAAAAAAAATTAGGCCTCAGATTTCTGTATCTGTTTCATGATCATTTGTCAATCTAATAGGCAAGTAGATGATCAGCCTCCTGTGCCTGACACACGCCGTCGACTTTTTGTGTCTAAGGCAAGCCGGTTTCCTCACGAAGTTTTCCTTTACCTTTCGAGCGAATGTTAAATACGCACATAGACAGAAAGTCCATTGGTACACAGCCGAGGCTCGAACCTACGACCTCACGATGAAAGTCGCACGCTAAAGGCCAAATTTCCTAAATGCTTTTAACAAATCTTAAATGTTCTACTGGTATGTAAACATCAAGGGGCGGAACAAACGACGATATACCGTCGAAAGATTTAGAATCCCACCCATAGACTGTTAAATTTTTTGTTACAGACTATACAGCTGCATTCGCTGCAACTTCAAAGGTGTGCACAGACTATACAAACAACACAAACGATACGAATGTCAAAAAACAATTCACCTTTATAATTATCATTGTTCGTTATGTAAAAAAAGTTTTGATTCGATGCCGAAATATCTGTTGCACTTTGAAACGCACGGCGTTCCGGAGTTGATCTGTCCACAGTGCGGTCACGGGGGCATATCCTTGAAGTCTTTGAGCTTACACGTGAAGATGCATATCAAGAGTCTCTTCGTTTCGTATAGATCTTTGTATTCCGAGGACACGATAACGGCGCCAGTTTTAAAGTAAGTCTCTATAATAAGCTTCAAATTAGGAGGATTTATTTTTTTTTATTTGGCATTTGACAGTTGACAGATGACAATTAACACGAATAGCCAAAACAACAAAAGACAAACATAGATAGTGCACAGGTCCAGCGCTCATGCTACTGAGATGACTCTTCGGCATTCATCTGTCCATACATCGCCTACTTTGAAAATCTTATACGTATATATTAAATCACCTGTGTGTATTTTTTTTTCTAGAACAGGGGGCAAACGGGCAGGAGGCTCACCTGATGTTAAGTGATACCGCCGCCCATGGACACTCTCAATGCCAGAGGGCGTGCGTTGCCGGTCTTTTATTTGTGTATGAGTAAAACTCCTAAACGTAGGGACCGATTTTATTGAAACTTGTGTATTCAAGTGGATTAGATAATGGTTTAGACATACAATTACATTTTATTTTTAATTTAAACGTGTATAGTTTATAGATTCGTTTAACGTGTATAGGTTCTGTAGATATATATATATATATATTATATATATCTACAGAACCTCCAAAAACCAAATCAAGTGACTTTTCAGATGCAAAGTATGTTATGCTGACGTCACGCGAGTTGATTTCATAAAGCACTGGGACACGCATCTGGACCTAAATAATTTAAATAGGCGCCTCAAATCACCAGAGGTGTTATTACCGCAACTGCCCCACGGGTTTCAGACATTGGACCACGATGACACACCAGATATTAAGAAAGCTTTAAGTAAGATAAACAATATTAAAAAATTGCTTTCTTTCAAATTCATTTACGCTTTATATATATATATTTATATTTTTAAGTGATATTTCTTTAGGCGCATGAGAGTAAATTTTTGAAGTTATACTTCTTTAGGCGCGTTATGAAAAATTTATGAGAGTGAAATTTTACGATGCGCGCGCACCTGTGACACAAAATTGGGAGTGTGATTATAGCGTGCGCGAGCGAGATAGGAATAAGACAATCTACAAGTAAAAATAAATAGAATATGCGTGAAGTTCGTATGCCAAGAATTTTGAATGACCATAATGACATTTGTCATTTACCTTTTAAACAAATAAAGGAGTTTTGATTATTTTTTCAAAGAAATTTATTAATTTTATATTGTGCAATACTGCCAAAGCTACAACATACTTCTTAGTGTTTGGTAGAGATGTTCTAAATATATAATTATATATACTTTTAACTAAATAGAATTTATGTTACACTTAATGTAAGAGAATAATAATAAATAATTATTTATTTAATTTTTCAAATGTAAACTGAACTTAATTGACTATAAAGACTCCTTTTCCAGTCTTTGATTATTTAATTGTAATTAATTATTTGCATGCAATCAAAAACTATTTTTAATAATGCCAAAGAAGTATAACTTCTTACGCGCGTACATAAGTGCACGCACCCTTTTTTTATTGATGAAACGCAATAATAATAATATTAGCGTCACGATAGATTAGAGAGTGAGAAAGGCGAATTATCTTATAGAAATTATCTTTTTAAAATTAAAATTTCGTAAAGAGAATTTATGAAATATTAGTATTTTATATTTTATGCAAAATAATTTATTGAAATGTCAAATGACGAATTGTAAATTAAAATGCCACGTGTTATTAGTATCGAAAAAAATTAAATTTATATTTTTTATTAATTTTCGACACTTAATATTTCAATGACAATTAAATCCATTAAATTCCCAACATATCTTCCTTTTTCCCTCCCTCTAAGTCTCGGAAATTTAAAGTTTTAAATTTGTATAAATATGAACAAGACCTAAAAATTCAATGCTAAAGTAGCTTCACTTCTGACATGTGTACTTTGTACGCACGCACTTTTTTTTTATTGAAGTTATACTTCTTTTGGCGCGATGGAGAAAAATGATGAGAGTGAATTTTTACGATGCGCGCGCACACCGACACGTAAATTCTACATAGTTAAGTAAAGGTGCGCTTACACGGGCAACTAAAATTGCTCAATTCCAGTCAATTATGACGTCACGACTACATCAAGCAATTTACGGCAACGGCAACAAGCATCAATACTGCGCAATACAATATTGAGCGATATGGCGCAACTTCATCAACTAGGCAATACTGTCATACACGAGCATTTCAGTTTTCGCTCGCTATGGACGACATTGTTCTTGCTGCGGCGGCTTGTAGTGCTTTTTTTATTATCAATCAAAAACAAAAAAGAAAGAAAAGGAATAGGCGTATCTGGGTGCGATCGTTTTTGGCAAAGAGGACAAAATTTTCATTATGTACAGAATTAGATGATATATTGTTCAAAAACTTTACTAGAATGTCACGAACAGACTTTGAATTACTTTTGAATAAAGCTAGCCCATTAATTACGAAACAGACGACCAACATGAGAGAACCAATTTCTGCATCAACAAAACTTGCTTTAACCCTTAGATTTCTGGCAACTGGAGATTCATACAAAAGTTAAATGTATCTGTTTAGAATTTCTGATAGTTGTATTGCATTATTTGTACCTACTGTATGCAGAGCTATTGCAGAAGTTCTTCGAGAATATATAAAGGTAAGTTATTTTAATTTAAAAGTGAGGATATTTAATTTAAAAATAATTGTATTAATCAACCTTTTTATTTATTTAAATTCACAATTAAGTAGATTTTTAATTCAAATAAATCAATCAGTAGTAATGTACTCCTCGGCAGTAGTATTTCCGTCTGAATTACGAACTGTTCTAACCATCAATACACCATCTATTGCTTGTTGAATTGCTTCTGTATATTCGATCTCTGCAGCTGGAGTTTTGGGGTGGTGGTTTATTGAAGAAGAAGCGTTTGTAGATATAGGAGAATACTGAGATTTAATGTTTAGTGCGTTTGTCGCATTTGAGTCAGAAGAATTGCTAGCCTCGTTAACCGACGTAGGACTAGCAGTGGGTATAGCATGGTAGGAAAGAGGATAAAGAGCAGGAGAGTATACACGTTGACGGTAAGAGGAAGAAACGCTGGGTGAAGAAGAATACTGCTTTCCCGATACACTGCTTCTGCTTCTTTCATCATAATATCCCATATCGGCTTCATATAAGATTGAAGAAATTTTATATTCGACTTGATTGCGTACATACTGACTATATGTTAACAGCTTTTGGTTTACATGCTCTCCAAAAGCTAATGATTTAGTGGAAATCTTCTGTTTTACTGCTTCCATAACTTCACAAGCGTCACGATAACGATCATCTTCAATGGTTTTTTTCTTCTTAGCACTTGGTGACTTCGAAGGTGGTGGTAGTTCGGGCTTAAATGTGATCGTATCATCAGCATTCGTATCAACCTAAAAAATAAAATAAATAGTTATTAAATAATATTATAAAAGAAAATATATTGCTCAGAATGGTGGTCTAAATATGTCCTAAAAGTTTAAGTTTAGATGTCCTTTACACCCTATATAGTCATTGCATATACAGGGAAGTCAAGTGCTATGAAGAAGACATATTAAAATTAGTTAAAATATTTCCTTTTTATGGAACTAATGTGTTATTTAACTTTTTTTACAGTTGCCTACAAGCGGTGAAGAATGGAAAAGTATAGCGAAAAAAACATTGCACATTCCACCAGCGGAACCATTACCACACCGAGAACGGAACACTCCGAATGTTTTGGTGGCGGATGATGCATTCCCACTTTCCGAAAATATAATAAAACCATACTCGTGCGATTTAAATCGAGGATCTCCGAAAAGAGTTTGTAATTATAGAATATCTAGAGCACGGAGAGTAGTTGAAAACGTATTTGGTATATTAAGTTCAGTATTTCGAATTTTCCACACAAGTTTTGAACTAGAAGTTGAAACAGTTAAATGTGCCACTTTGGCTACTTGTTATTTACATAATTTTTTACGACGAAACAAGCGAGCGCGACAATTATATACACCACCTGCTACGTTTGATATGGAGGATACCGATTTTAACTTAATACCTGGACAATGGAGACAAAACTATGATCCTGACGATTTAATTAATTTAGAAAATCGGCCAAGAAATGCATTATTTTATGTCTCAACTTGGAAGTGTCCCATGGCAATCTGCTTATTTGTAACAAGGATATGTCGTGTGAAAGAAATCTAACCTAAAACTCCAAGAAAGTTGCGGACGGAAGCAAGTAACTTATTACTTCGGCTCACATTTAAATTCAGTTTTTATACAAAGATTTTACTGCTTTCTCGGACCATACTTGTATAATAAAATAAATGAAATAGTAGATACATATAAATTAAATAAAACAGCTAATAATTAATTGATTTTGCATATGTTCTTTATTAAACTGATTACTTACATCTGATTGTGTTTCCGTTTCTAGACAAGAATCAGCTTCATCTGTGCCTTTTAAAAAAAGCAAACTTTTAAAAGCAAACCAATTGCTTTCTTGAAAAGCACCACTGCCACTTTTTTGCTTTTTCTCCAATTTCTTTATTTCGTTGTTAAAATATGTGCGTAAATTTTTAAATTTTTTTACTGCCTCGTCATGAGATGTTTGAAACTGCAGCCCAATAGCAGTCCATTCATCTTTTTTTAGCAAACGATCCTTAAAATCAGGACTTTTGTTATCCCACAAACAAGGATGCAAGCGAACTGCATCAATAAAGTTAATAATCTTTTCATTATTCCACGACAAAGACGACGCCATTTTAAAATGCAGTCAAAACACAAAAAAAATCAAAAATATGTATAATGTTACGAGGAAATAGTTCAATTTCACACTGTTAGTTAATTAGCACACTGTAATTATTACGGACATTTCTTCGGCTTTGCAAAATTCCAAATGAATCAATTAAAAAATACGACATAAAATAATCAAGCTGTTGGCTATGTTTGACTAGACGGTAAAGAAAAAAAAGGAACACCGTGTGTGAACCAAAACAGAATGAAGTTGTAATTTATAAATAATTATAAAATATATTATTTAAAAACAAGCGCGAATGAGATATATACAAAAATTGCTAGGAATTTCCAAGTCCATTGGATATTCGTCAATTCGTATCTGCGACATTGAGCGATATGAAATATCTGGAGCAATTAGAAGCAATATCGCCGAAATAATTTATTGAAATTGCTCCATTAATTGCTCCAGATCGGTCCATTCGTGTTGCCGAGCAATTATTGCCCTCGTGTAAGCGCACCATTAGTTCTAGGTGGCATGAAAATCGATAATAACTATGTTCAAGTTGTATATTCTAGTATTTTTATATTTAGAACACGTGTTTCGTAACAGTACAATTAAATAGTGTGAATAAATAAATATTATTTTGGTGTTTTTATTAAATCAATTTCATATACGACGGTGATTTTTTTTTTTTTGATTAATAGTATATCTATATATATTGAATATTAGTGATAAAACTGATTTGAATAAACTGTTTTGAGTGCATTTATAGATTTGAGGTTTTTACATCGTTTATTTTAAAAAAAATATTATTTTTTTTCGTTTTGTTTTATTTTTGGTATATCAACAAATTTTATATATAAATAAAAAAAATATTCTATACAACTTGTTTATATTAACCTTAAATGCTGAGTGTTTAAATACTATCTTTGATCTTAACTATTTGTAAAAATTTGATTGATTGATATTTTAATTATTGAAGTTATACTTCTTTAGGCGCGTTATGAAAAATTGATGAGAGTGAAATTTTACGATGCGCGCGCACCGTGACACAAAATTAACAGAATGAAGTTGCCCACGGAAGATGCTACGGCATTGGACATAATTTACAAACAACATTCGAATAATAATAGAATTTATGTTACACTTAATGTAAGAGAATAATAATAAATATTTATTTATTTAATTTTTAACATGTAAACTGAACTTTATTGACTATAATGACTCCTTTTCCAGTCTTTGATATATACATAAGTACATGCACCTTTTTTTTAAATATTATTATTATAACAAACAAATTTTATTAAATAACTTTAAAAACACCGAGCACTCAGCTTAACATGATATATTTATACAAACATATATTTTCAATTTATTAAAGTAGTAGTTGAAATAATCAAAAATAAATTCTGATAAATAAATTTAAAATTGAAATAAACTTAAATAGAACCATAAATAATTTTCTATACTAATTCGTATCTATGATCTTTTGCAGGTTTCTCTGAAACTAATAATGCTGCATAATTAAATTTCAATTTCTGTTTTAGTTGTCGAAGATATTACTCAAAGAAATGCACAAAACTGTAAAAAATATTATTCACGAAAAAAATTGCTTGCGCAACAACTCCAATCAAAGAACGAAGTTATTCAAACTGCATCAACATCAAGTTTGCAAATGACGTTTGAACCTCAGCTTATTACCACAGGTAACAAATTTAAATAATTGGAATATCACAGTTATAATTATAAATAATGAGATTATATAGTTTTCTTTAATTATTTATTTACTTATCCTTTATTATATTAATCAAAAACATACACATAACAAAAAAAAATAGGTTACAAAAGTTATAAGGCAACGGGCGGCCTTATCGCTAACAAGCTATTTCTTCCAGGCAACCCTAAAGTGGAACAATGAAAAAGAAACACCTATAGAGGGTAGAGTACAAGAAATGCAAAAATTATTAACAAAAAAAAACTCAAAATAACACGTTAAAGTAAAATCTAAAGATAAAATAACAATAATAATAAATAAAAATATGTAGAAACAAAAATGTTAAATCCAATCAAAAGGTTAACTGAGTCACAATAATTAAATTAATTAATTAAGTAGTAGCTAATTACGAGGCAGAGAAAAATGAGCAAAAAGAAGATTTAAAAACACATTTAAAGACTGAGCTCGTCTGATATCCATTGGTAAGGAATTCCAAAGCAGGATACTTTGCACAGTAAAGGAGGAGTGATAGAATTGAGTTTTATGAATAGGAGTTTCAAGAATTAGATTGTCTTAGGAACGCAAGTGTAAACTACCGCCAGAGAGGAACATAATTTCTTTCGTTAAGTAACTAGGAGTTTTAGGAATAAAAAGAACATTATAGAGAAGTTGTTAATTAGTTAATTCAAATTAAATTATTATTTAAATAAAATCTTTTTGATTAATTTTAATATTTATCGTTAATCACTACTGCATTTTAGTTATTTTTTTTCCATACGCCAAAGAAGTATAACTTTTAACGCGTGTACACACACTCTTATATTTTTTTGGTTGAAATTTATGAGCATTTTTGTTGTAACGTTTTGTGATTCATTTAATTTGTAATAATCTTATTAATTTGTATTTAAAATTTTCGGAAACTTCAAAGTAATATTAAAAATTATTAGAAAGAAAATTAAAACAAATTTAAAAAGTTAGGTCCCTGTGGCAGTGTACCCTTAACGCTGGCATTTCCTAGCTGTATTGCGATACATATTCGTTGAGCCAGTTTAGTTGAATAAACTTAAACTATATAAAATTAATTAATAACTATTTAATTTTTCAGTTTTCAAGAAGCGGTTAAGTAATGCAGAGAAATGTAAAAATTATCGTAACCGAAAAAAAGAAGCAAGTCTAAAAATAAAAAAAGCTACATTAACATCCGCAGAAAGGTCTCGGATGTATAGGTTGCGGAAAAAACAACTCGCTCAAGGAATTAAATCATCTGTGAAAGAAGTTTTGTATACTCCATCAACTTCGAATGATGTTTGAACCATCGCCTCAGCCTGTTACTACAGGTAACTAAAAATAATAATTCTCTATCTCCGTCATAATTTAAAACATTGCTTTATTTTACTTTGTCACTCAAGTTTGACGACTCATTGGTCTAGTGGTAAGTACCCCTGACTGCGAATCCATGGGTCCCGAGTTCGATCCCCGGCTGAGACGAACATCGATGTGATGAGCATTTGGTGTTGTGCTTAGGTCTTGGGTGTTTAAATATGTATTTACATGTGTTAAGTCCATCTATCTATAATATGTATGTTTATCCGTTGCCTAGTACCCATAACACAAGCTTCACCAGCTTAGCATGGGATTAGGTCAATTGGTGTGAATTGTCTTTAAAAAAAAAAATTTTTTTAAATTAAATTTAATTGCTTACTTTAATATTTTTATTGAAGCTATACTTATTTTAAGGAGTTAAATAGTATGACACTATCTGGTCAATATATTCTTGAAGCCTTGTTGTATGTACAAAAAAATATAAACAATTTTAAAACAAATGGTGACTTTCACCAGTATAATACGCGAAATAGAACTAATTTGAGTGTACCAACCAGGCTCCAGAAGATAAACCACTCCTTATATGGAAATTGTATTGCATTACATGCTGGCTTTATTTGCGTTTATGCTGTAAAAAAGTGAAGGAATTTACTCCCAGTTCTTTCTTCTACGATTTTCATTTAAGAATAAATGTAATTCGCTATACATTTTCAGGATCACGAAAAAACCCCGATAATAAAATGTGACAAGTGTAAAAAAACATTCGTGTTTAAATCAGTACCTATACAAAAAACACTACAGGACAAACCATTGGATAGGTGTTCGAGGTTTAGATTTTTTTTTTTTTTTTTTTTTTTTTTCGTGGGGAAATGCGTTAAGCATACCCTCCCGCGGCACGGTTGACCTTGGGGGGAAGGGTTATGTGGGACTCGCACAACAGTGCATACCCACTAAAACCCCACGGCGCCACCAGCAATCGCCCGGGGCAGGACACGGTAACAGCGTGGCCTTGTCCGCATCCAGCCACGCGATCAGCCGTTAGTATCACGGTCCTCTACGGCCACGAATGATGTGGAATGGACCTTGGCACAGCAAGGGCCTTTCACATCGGCCAAGTCACCCTGTTTATAAAGCTGGGGGAGGTCGGGCACGATGCTTGCAGGGATGCGTCAGCATCCCTTCTTTTCGACGCATGGACCCCTGTTCCCCCGCTGGAGCAACTGCGTGCCCAGGATTACACACGGGGTTGCTCGGTGCAACGGCGGCGCTGTGGTCTCCTACGGCGACGCGGGTGGGCTGCAGGATCATCCTCCCTGGCCCTTTCCGCCTCTTCCTTTTTGTGCATGACGGCTTCACAGAATCTCTGGAAGATTTCCCACATGCCGTCACTGTCCGTGTT